AACACCACTACCAATAAATGAAAAACAAAAAGAATCAACAATCAATGGTCATTAATATCTCTCAATGTCAACGGTCTCAACTTGCCTATAAAAAGACACAGACTAGCAGAATGGATATGAAGACAGAACCCATCGTTCTGCTGCATACAAGAAACACATCTCAACGTCAAAGACAGACGTTACCTCAGAGTAAAGGGCTGGGAAAAGATTTTCCAATCAAACGGACCCAAGAAACAAGCTGGTGTAGCAATCCTAATATCTAACAAATTAGACTTCAAATTAAAAATCAATCAAAAGAGATGAAGGACATTTCATATTCAAAGGAAAAGTCCATCAAGATGAAGTCTCAATTCTGAACATCTATGCCCCAAATACAAAGCCATCCACGTTCGTAAAACAAACTTTACTAAAGCTCAAATCGCACATAAAATCTCACACACTAGTAGTAGAAACTTTAACACTCTGCTCTCACCACTAGACAGGACCTCCAGCAGACACTTAACAAAGCAACAAAAGAACTAACAGAAGTTATGACCCAACTGGGTTTAACAGACATCTATAGAGCATTAAATCCAAACACAAAGGGATATATACCTTCTTCTCAGTGCCACATGGAACCTTCTCTAAAATCGACCATATAATCTGATACATAGCAAACCTCCACAGACACAAAAAAATTGGGAAAACCTCCTGTATCTTATCATACCACCATGCATTAAAATTAGAATTCAACAATAACACAAAACGCAGAAACCCTACAAACTCATGGAAATTGAACAATGCACAATTGCACCATCCCTGGGTAAAGGAAGAAATAAAAAAAGAAATTAAAGATTTCCTGGAATCCAATGAGAATGAAGACACAACATACCCAAACTTATGGGACACTTTGAAAGCAGTGCTGAGAGGAAAGTTCATAGTGCTAAGTGCCCACATGAAGAAATGGCAGAACAGTCACACTAGAGAATTAATAGCACAACTGAATGCTCTAGAACAAAAAGAAGCAAGCTCACCCAGGAGGAGTAGACACCAGGAAAAATCAAATTGAGGGCTGAAATCAATCAAGTAGAAACCAGGAAAACATTGCAAAGAATCAATGAAACAAAGAGTTGTTTCTTTGAGAAAAATCAACAAGATAGACAAACCTCTGTCCAAACTAACAAAAAGGCAGAGAAAGAGCACGCTAACTAACAAAATCAGAAATGAAAAGGGGGACATGACAACAGACAATGAAGAAATCCAGAGAACCATCAGGGCATACTTTGAAAACCTGTACTCTACAAAATTCGAAAATTTAAAGGAAATGCACAATTTTCTGGATAGATATCACTTGCCAAAACTAAATCAAGAACAGATAAACAATCTAAGCAGACCTATAATCCTTAATGAAATAGAAGCAGTCATCAAAAGTCATCCATCCAACCAAAAAAAACCCAGGCCCAGGTGACTTCAGTGCAGAATTCTACCAGAAATTCAAAGAAGAGCTAATCCCAATACTCCTCAAAGTGTTCCACACAATAGAAGCAGGAGGTTCACTGCCAAACTCTTTTTACGAAGCTACAATTACCTTGGTACCCAAGCCACACAAAGACACAACTAAGAAAGAGAACTACAGACCAATTTCCCTCATGAACATCAATGCAAAAATACTCAATAAAATACTAGCAAATTGTAACCAAGAACACATCAGAAAATCATCCACAATGATCAAGTAGGCTTCATCCCAGGAATGCAGGGATGGTTCAACATACGAAAATCTATCAATGTAATCCACCGCATAAACAAACTGCAAAGGAAAATCACATGATCATCTCACTAGATGCTGAAAAAGCCTTTGACAAAATCCAACACCTCTTCATGATAAAGGTCCTAGAGAGATCAGGGATAACAGGAACATACCTGAACATAATAAAATATATAGTAAACCAACAGCTAACATCAAACTAAAAGGAGAGAAACTCAACACAATTCCTCTAAAATCAGGAACAAGACAAGCCTGTCCACTCTCTCCATATATCGTCAATATTGTACTTGAAGTTCTAGCTAGAGCAATAAGACAACAAAAGGAGATCAAGGGGATACATATTGGAAAGGAAGAAGTCAAACTTTCACTATTTGCAGATGATATGATAGTTTACATAAGTGACCCAAAAAAACTCCGCAAGAGAACTCCTACAGCTGATAAACACCTTCAGCAAAGTTGCAGGATACAAGGTTAACTCAAAAAAATCAGTAGCCCTATTATATACAGATGATAACTTGGCTGAGAAAGAAATCAGAGAAACATCACCCTTTACAATAGCCATAGACAACATCAAATATCTGGGGATAATGTTAACCAAAAAAGTGAAAGACCTGTATATCAAGAGCTTTGAGTCTCTAAAGAAAGAAATCAGAGAGGATACCAGAAAATGGAAAGATCTCCCATGCTCTTGGATTAGTAGGATCAACATAATGAAAATGGCAATCTTGCCAAAAGCAATCTACAGATTCAAAGCAATCCATATCAAATTACTGGCACAATTCTTCACAGACCTTGAAAGAACAATTCTCAACTTTATATAGAAAAACAAAAGACCCAGGATAGCTAAAACAACCCTGTACAATAAAGGAACTTCAGGAAGCATCACTATCCCTGACTTCAAGCTCTATTATAGAGCTATAGTCCTGAAAACAGCTTGGTATTGGCACAAAAATAGACAGGTAAACCAATGGAATCAATTGAAAACCCTGATTTTAACCCACACACTTATGAACACTTGATTTTTTACAAAGAAGCTAAAATTACACAATGCAAAAAAGAAAGCATCTTCAACAAATGGTGCTGGCATAACTGGGTACTGGTATGCAGAAGACTGCATATAGATCCATGTTTATCGCCTTGTACAAAACTTAAGTCCAAATGGATCAAAGACCTCAACATAAATCCAGCTACACTGAAACTCTTAGAAGAGAAAGTGGGAGATACTCTTCAACGAATTGGTACAGGAGACAGCTTCCTGAAGATAACACCAGTAGCACAGACACTAAGATCGACAATTAACAAATGGGACCTCCTGAAACTGAGAAGCTTCTGTAAGGCAAAGGACACAGTTAACAAGACAAAAAGGCAGCCCACAGACTGGGAAAAGATATTCACTAACCCCATATCTGACAGAGGGCTGATCTCCAAGATTTACAAAGAACTCAAGAAGCAAGTCTCTAAAACACCAAAGGATCCAATTAAAAAGTGAAGTATAGAACTAAATAGAGAATTCTCAATAGGGGAGTCTAAAATGGCTGAGAGACACTTGAGAAAGTGCTCAATATCCTTAGCCATCAGAGAAATGCAAATCAAAACAATTCTGAGATACCATCTCACCCGTCAGAATGGCTAAAATAAAAAACACCAACGACAATTTATGCTGGAGAGGATGTGGAGAAAGGGGAACACTCCTCCACTGCTGGTGGGAGTGCCAACTCGTACAGCCACTTTGGAAATCAGTATGGAGATTCCTCAGGAAAATGGGAATCAATCTACCATAAGACCGAGCAATTCCACTCTTAGGCATATATCCAAAAGATGCAAATTCACACAACAAGGACATCTGTTCCACTATGTTCATAGCAGCATTATTTGTAATAGACAGAACCTGGAAGCAACCTAGATGGCCCTCAACTGAAGAGTGGATAGAGAAAATGTGGTACATATACACAATGGAGTACTACTCAGCAGAGAAAAACAATGGAATCTTGAAATTTGCAGGCAAATGGATGGCACTAGAAGAAACCATCCTGAGTGAAGTAACCCAGTCACAAAAAGAAAAACATGGCATGTACTCACTCATATACAGATTTTAGACATGGATCAGGGGAGTGCCAGTCTGCAATTCCACTGACAGAGAGTCTGGGAAACAGAAAAGAACCTAAGAGAGATATGCATGGTACCCCAGAGAAGAGGAATGAGGCAAGATCTCCTGAACAGATTGGGAGCACAGCAGGGGGTGAGGGGGAGTGGGAGCTGGGAAGAAGAGAGGGGGAGAAGAGAAGGAGAGAGTAGGTCATGGGGGAGCAAGAAGGTTGAGTTGGGGGAAGAATAGGGAGCGAACAGGATGAGAAATACCATAATAGAGGGAGTCATTATAGGTTTGAAGAGAGATCTGGCACCAGTGAGACCTCTAGTGATCTACAAGGATGACACCAACTGGCAAGCTAAGCAATAGTGGATAGACTACCTTAAATGCCCATTCCTGATAATGAACTTGACGACTACCTTATATGCCATCCTAGAACCTTCTCCAGTGACTGATGGAAGCAGAGACAGACACCCAAAACTAAACACTGAACTGAACCCATGGAACCCAGTGACAGAGAGAGTAATGAGTAAATTGGCAAGGAATGGGCTGGCGAAACCAGCAGAAAAGGCTGACCTGAACAAGTGGGAGCTCTTGGACCCCAGACCAACAGCTTGGGAGGCTAGCATGGGACGATCCAGACCCCCTGAGTGTGAGAGTCAGTGAGGAGGCCTGGGCAACCTATGGGGCCCTGGGAAGTAGATCAGTGTTTATCCCTGACATACAAATGGACTTCATGTGTCCGTAACACAAAGAGGGATGCTCTCTCAGCCTGGACTCTTAGGGGAGTGCCTGGACCCTGCCCTGAGTGAAATGAGAAACTCTGGATATCCCCTATGTGGAAGGGAGTGGGGATAGGGTGGGAGGCTGGGGGGAATGGCGGGGGGGAGATGGATATGGGAGGGGGAGGGAGAAGGAGCTGGGATTGATAATTGGAACAAGCTCTTCTAAAAAATGTAAAAAATGAATGAATAAATAAATTTTAAAAGTTCGGGGGAGAAAAAAAGAGTTCAAGGCCAATTTGAACTACACCTGAATCACATAGGGAGGGATGTAGGAGGGATGGATATAGTTAAAGAAATGAGAAAACCAGATTAAAATTGTAAAGCTCAGGTAAATTATGCTGTTTTCTACTTTTCCCTCAAATTTTCTAAAGTCTTACATTACCATAAAGATCAGGCCCATGAGAAGTGAAGACATTATACAGAACAATGTTGAGAGGTGTAATCACCAACTTCCCATAATAGTAGCTGTCAATGACCACCACGGGCACCTAAAGTAAAAGAAAAACATCAGATGTAGCTTTCAAACTGCTACTGGAAAAACTTCAGAATGAAAAATAAAATGAACTCCTGATGTTTGCTTCCCTGCATCAGAAACTACTCAGAACATGAGAGTGAAACAAGGAAAATGAAACTCACCAGGAAAAGAATTAGGGCCACCAGTGACCAACAAAAGAAACTCTTCCATCTGTGTTTTATGGCCAGTGAGTCGAAGGCGATGGGTAAACTATTCAACAGAGAAACACAGTAAGGGTTAGTAAAGCACTAAGTTCTCGGGACAGAGCCGCACAGAGCCACACAAGCCTATGCTGAGCGCAGAAGCAAACTGCTCTCCCAGGGGCAGAGAAGAAAGGAAGCTCGTATGTGATGAGGTGTCTTCTCAAAAGGAAACTGGTCTTTCCGAGGACCCATCAAAAGATGTTTGCCACAGATGGACAAGAAACAGCACTGCGCTGCTAGACCGTCTTGACACCCATCTACATGTACTGGGCATGCAAGACATAATCATTATAAACTCATGTGCACTGTTACCCTACACCTACCTGACAAATACTCACCTACCCTTCTGAAATTAACTAGGGTTTTACTATATGTTTTTAACCTGTAAATAACTAGATTTTCATGTGTGTGTGTCTGCAGGTACATATGCCAGGGCGTATGTGGAGGTCAGAGAATAAACTGCCCTGAGGAGTCAGTTATGTGCCTTCCACACGTATGAGGATTCCAGGGATCAAACTCAGATCTCCAGATTTGTACAGCAAGGGTCTACTGCCGAGACAACTCTCCCTCAGTGGCTCTCCATCGTATTTTTTTGAGAGAGGGTCAACCACTGACCCTAGAGCTTATCAATTCGGCGAGACCAGTGAGCTCTAGGAACTTTTCAGTGTCCACTCCAGCCCTGGGATTTCACAAGCACCACGCCTGACTTTTAAGTGGGTGCCAGGGATTGAACCTCAGTCCTAAGGCAAATCTCCCCAGTCTCCAAAAAGTTCACCTCATTAAACCTGCTGTTTGTTTATTTGTTGCTATACATTCTAGGCAAACATTTTACTACTGCACTATACCCTATAGGTACTTTCAAAAATATGAAATTGTATATTTAAAATAACATTAACAACTATGAAGGTTTATATTTTAATTATGTGTATAATATGTATTTGTATATGTGAGTGCTGGTGCCTGCAAAGTCCAGAAGACGGTGTCAGATTCCCTGGAACTGTAGTTACAGGCAGTTGTGAGCCACCCAACATGGAGGCTGGGAACCAAATGCAGGTTCTCTACAAGAGCAGCATGTGATCTTAATCACTGAACCAATTCTCTAGTATAGTCAAGAGGTTAAGGCAGCACAAACCAGGAAAGAAGTAGCAGAAACAACGAGTATGGAAGACAGTGGACACAACTGAACTCCGAAAGACACTGGAGCAAGAAAGAGGAAGGGATGTAGGAGAAATGCCTTAGCGATTAAGCGCATGGGCTGCTCTTCCAGAGGATCCACCTCGCAGCTCAGTTCCAGGGCATCTGATGCCCTTTTCTAGCCTGCAGGAATACTGTATACATGTGGTACATGCACCCTTGCACATAAAAATGGGTTTTTTTAGAAAAGGACAAAAGGGAACATTTCAATTCTGGGTGACAAGGAAAATACACAGCAAATAATAGAACAGTGTGAGAAAACAGCAAGCTTCAGAAGAAAGAGGAAGGGGCTGTGGGCCCGACGACAACAACAGAGTAACACAGAGAAGGATATGGCTGAAATACATTGCATACATGAAAATGCCACAGTGAAATCCAGGATGTAAAACTAATACATGCTAATGAAAGCACTTGCAAGGATAATGTTAGAGGCAAATTATCTCAAATCTTACTGTCTATATTCTCATTTATAAAATACTAATTATTGCTGGGAGGTGGTGGTGCATGCCTTTCATCCCAGCACCTGGGAGGCAGAAGCAGGCAGATCTCTGTGAACTCAAGGACAGCCTAGTCTAGAGATCAAGTTCCACAACAGCCAGAACTACACGGAGAAACCCTGTCTCAAAAAAAAACCAACACCACCCCCACCAAAAAAATATTAATTATTATATTTTCTTGCAGAATTGTAAAATTTAGAAATAAAATTTATGAAAGGTTTGTTAATGCTAGCAACGTCTAGCATTCAGCAGAAGCTAAGTAGTCATTACTTTCATTAGAATAAATCACATGAAAAAACAATAAGCTTTTGTTCCCAGAGTCTTCATCAGTCAAACTGATTCCTTTAACTTTAGTTGCTGGCTGTACAACATTAGGATTGACCAGATGTCCAGTGACCTACAGGAGAAGAATAACTTAAATTTCTTACCCAAGGGCTGCACTGAATGGCCACCCTAAGATAGCCCCAGCTGCTACTCCCAGCACAGCAATGGGTGTCTTGTCCATATACCATCCAGTCATAGCAATCAATGTCGTGTACATGCAGAAGCTGCTAGGAAGGAATGCTACAAGAGTAAAGAAATGAAAAAGAAACAAGAGTCTGAGAGTACATATGCTTTTTAAAAATCCACTTACACTGCAAAATGCCAATAATTACAGAGTTATTTTTGGAAAACACTATTAGAAACAAGCAGTAATATAGCTGGAGTTTCTCTTGTCCCACCAGGTCCTGCTACTTCAGCCCCAAATGAACATATGGACACTATATTAATTATAAAACTAATGGCCACTGGCTATGGCTTCTTATTGGCTAGCTCCATCTTAATTATTCACCCATTTCTATATCTATGAATTTCCACCAGGTCTTGGCTTACTGGAGAATGCCCAAACCTGTTACTCTCTTGCCGGCTATATGGCGTCTCTCTCTGCCTACCTTTCCCAGAATTCTCCTCGTCTCTTAATCCTGTCTATCTTCCTTCCTCTATTGGCCAAACAGTGTTTTATTCATCAACCAATAAGAGAAACATATAAACAAAAGGACATCACAGCAAGGCTACTGACATGGGCTCAGTTGACAGAGTGCTTGCCTAAAATGCACAAAGCCTTGGGTTCAATTCCTAGGACCACAAAAAACTGGGCATAGTGGCACACACCTATAATCCCAGCCCTTGGGAGGTAGAAGCAAGAAGATCAGAAGTTCAAGGGCATCTTCAGTTATACAGCAAGCCTGAGGACACAAGAGACCCTGTCTTGGGCCATGAGACCCGGATAGAAAGAAATACACAAAAAACGGGAGGAAGGGAATGAAATGAATGGGTAGTCGGAGGACATTCCTTTTCAGAAAACAAAATGCACTGATTTTTATTTCCTCACACCTTTTTTCCACGTACACAAGTCCCCAAGTTACACAATCCTAGCCATCCATTCCTTTCCTGGTCTGCACCTAAATTCAAAACTTAACAAAAATGTCAGGCTAAAGAGATGGCTCTGCAGTTAAGAGCACTGCCTGCTCTTCCAAAGTTCAATTGAACTCTTCCTGAGTTCAATTCCTAGCAACCACATGGTGGCTCACAGCGATTTGTAATGAGATCTGGTGCTCTCTTCTGGCCTGCAGGGATACATATACATAAAAAATAAATAAATAAATCTTTTTTTTTTGACATCCTCTTGGGAGAGGGTTTTTTTTTTTTAAATATTGTATGTATTATGTATACAGCCTTCTGCCTGCATGCCAGCAGAGGGCACCAGATCTCATTCAAGGTGGTTGTGAGCCACTGTGTGGTTGCCGGGAATTGTACTCAGGACCTCTGGAAGAACAGTCAGTGTTCTTAACCACTGAGCCATCTCTCCAGCCCAATAAATAAATAAATCTTAAAAAAAAAAAAAAAACCTTACAAAGATCCAGGGACCTCTGACTTTATTTCCATGCAGGGAATATGATTCAAAAGACTTAGACCCATTGCAGACGATGTGCTGGTTCCTTCAGCTCATCTTCTGATAATATCCTGGTTCATACCTGGACCCTACAGAGATTCTAGGAAGCCTTGTCAAGGCTCAGAGCTACATTCTGGCCTTGGCATAGCCCCTAAATTATTACTTCTACCATAACTTTGTCATGAAATGCAACAGTCTGAACTCACTCAAGGCCTTTGCAACAACAGCAAAATATTCTCAACAAATTTAAACAAAAATGTGGCTTCTTATAAGACCCTATTCCTGGAACAGAAAACTCATTCGATTCTAACAAGAACTACAATGAATAGGCAAGAGATTTAAGACACTCAGCAAGGGTCTACTTCGAAGGCTCTACAGTAAAGACTGAATTCATGAGTGCCTCAAACTGACACTGGAAAACTAAAGATACTCACAGGAAGTGCCCCATACATACAAATCTGTTTCTGGATTAGTATAGTAATTAAAACATAGAACATGTGAGAAAAAACTTTCACAGATCGATGCTAAATAACACTGAAGTCAATTCTAGCTGCCAATGCAGAGTACAAGAGTTCGAGGCCGGGCTGGACTGACAGCCTCCAAAACAATACAGAGAAACCCTGTCTCGAAAAACCAAAAAAAAAAAAAAAAAAAGAGTGAAAATATCTAAGGTCTCTGCTAATGTTGGTGAAGCAGACATATTAACTACAGTGAATTTCAAGGCTGGTCTAGGGTGGAGCCCAGAGGTTACTACAGAACATTCATTTTGACATATTCAATGAAAATGCTAACCATGTAGCTCTGTACAAGGCATTCTTTTGTATATTTTGTATATGGACTAGATTCTTGATTATATAAGCATAAACTAAAATTGAAATAATTTAGCAAGATAATTTTTCTGGAGAATTAGGAACAACCTATCTTTTGCAGTAGGCTGTCTTAGCTTAGTCCACCAGTCCTACTTAGAACCTTTACTCTAAGTGTCCAGATGCTTACTATAAAAATAAATGCCTGGACAAAACTAGAAAAAAAAACATCCTGATTGAGGTAGCCCAGACCCAGAAAGACAAATATAGTATGTACTCATTCATAAGTGGATACCAGACATAAAGCAAAAGATACCCAGTCTACAATCCACAACCTGAGAGAAGCTAGAACCCTCTTCCAGAAACAGATGGAAGCAGATGCAGAAATCCAAAAGTAACCAATGGGCTGAGCTCCTGGAGTACAATCAAAGTAAGGGAGGAGCAGTAATACGAACAAAGGAGTCAAGACCATGATGGGGAAACCCATAGAATCAGCTGACCTAAGCCAGTGAGAGATCACTAACTCTAGTCTGACAAATGGGGAACCTGCATAAAACAGAACTAGACTCCCTTAATATAGGTGACAATGGTGTGACTGGGACAATATATGAGTTCTCTATGAGTTCAAGGCCAGCCTGGACTATAAGGCGAGTGCCAGGACAGGGTCCAAAGCCACACAGAGAAACCCTATCTCAGAAAAAAACAAAACAAAACAAAAACAAACAAACAAAAACCAACTCAAATAACAGGCAGAAAACAGAAAAACAGAATTATCAATCAAAAATACTTCCCTCTTCCTAATGACCAAGAAAGGAAGTGAGCCATTAGGAAGAGGGGGGAACAGAAAGTATCCTGCAAGACTGCAGTTCTACTACTCATGAATCTGTGCGGGTCAACAACAGTGACCTGCCAAGCATTCGTGTTTGTAACCTTGTTAGACAATTGCTTCCTTTCAATACAACTGTATAGGAAGGCAAACTCGCTACCCCTTCATCTACCCTTCTACTTACCAGATGATGAGCAAAACATGCCAGTGCTGAGCACCAAGAAGGCCAGCATCATTCGACTCACATGTAGCCCAAATTTCTTGCACACAGCCCTTGAAGAAAAGATATCGCTCATTAATATTGTAAAGACCATTAATATTGTGGATACTCACAGACAGACATCGCAAAGAAAAGAAGAACTGGAGGCCTGTGTGAGAAATAACAATGAAGAGCTAAAGTCAAATATAGAACTGTCTAGACATGTTAGCAATTCCCTATGCATAAGAAACCCAAACCTTTTACTCTTGACACAGAAAAGCTCCTTAAGAGGAAATGTGTTTAAAAGTCATTAGGAATTTCATGTGCATAAGAAATTGATTTCTTACTCTTGGCACAGAAGAAAGGCGTCTTGTTTAAGAAAAGCTGTATATTTAAAATGATGTCTTCTAGCAAAGGGGAAATAGCATGGTTTAATGAGAAGTAACAGACCTCGGGTTCAAGCAGGTTCAAATTCTGACTCTGCCATTTACTAGCAGTTAGCAACTACGCCTACATAAAGTTTCTGTGAGGGTTAATGTGGGGAAAATAATAAAGTGCCTAGCACAGAGTTGTTCAGCAAAGGCTGTTCTCAACACAGATGAAACAGGTCTGAATGAGGACATGCCTAACACATGAACAAACCCTGACTAAAATCAATACCAGCACTGGCTGTGATAGCCCACGCCTTTAGTCCAGCACTGGCTGTGATAGCCCACGCCTTTAGTCCAGCACTGGCTGTGATAGCCCACGCCTTTAGTCCAGCACTGGCTGTGATAGCCCACGCCTTTAGTCCAGCACTGGCTGTGATAGCCCACGCCTTTAGTCCAGCACTGGCTGTGATAGCCCACGCCTTTAGTCCCAGCTCTTGGGACATAGAGGCAGGTGGATCTCTGTGAGTTTAAGGCCAGCCTGGTCTGCAAAGTGAGTTCCAGAACAGCCAGAGAGTTACATAGAGAAACTCTGTCTTGAAAAAGTAAATAAATTAATAAGCAAACAAAAACCAACAACAAAACCTCTCACTGAGTTCAACTGTGTAAACACAATTTCACTAAGTCCTTTTTATATTCTCATATTACGATGCAAGACTTACTGAATTTATGGATTACCACCCTTTCCTACTAACTCTGAAAAATGTGAGCTATACTTCCCTGAATACTACCTCTTCTCATCTCTAATCAGATCTAGATACCTTCCACATAACTTCCTCTACATTTTTTCTCTATATTTTATTCCTAGAAATTTCTTCAAATTTATCTTTCATTTTCTTACTTTATTAACAGTCTTAATCTGTTTAGACTATCTACTGAGTTTTAAATGTCAAAATTATATAAATCTTACTGATATAACACATACATATGTATATATATCTATATATGTGTATGTGTATATATATACACATATATATATCTATAGTCAACATAAAGCAACTACACCCAGCCTGACTTCATCACACTTTTATTCTCAGTGATTTTCTGACATCTGGGTTAAGAGTCCAGTTTTCCAGGGAAATTTTTACATGATGCATGGGACCTCTACTAATCCAGGACTTAGGAGATGAGATGGATGATTTGAAATCAGACCCAAATCCACATGAAAACCAATTTATGGCTACAGTCCCCAGAGGGAGCACTGGTTTTGTTTTTACCTCCACTCTCAGAGTCAAAGCCAAAAATCCATTTTAATCTGGCACATCTAACTATGGGAAGACTTTTAATAATGATCTGTAAGTCTGAGTATCTCTTTTAATGTGTTAAGGCACTATTAAATTTAATGGTCTTATGTGGGACATTTTTTAAAAGGCAGCTATTTTATTGCTAGAATACTTAATGTATAATGGACTCATTAATAGTCAATCAACTGAGAGCTCGACTGGTGTGAGGCAATGTATTGAGTACAATTGAAAGTGGAATCTTACACTGGGAATACTCTCCCATCAGCTCTGCTCTAGGGAAGAAGTAAATCACTCAGAACCCAAAATAAGGTTTCAAAGCCTGCCAAGACTAGAGAGACATGTACTGCAAATTAAAACCACAGGTATGCCAATGGGAACAGTAGCTGGAAGCACTGCTCCTCATTACTTTCTAGACAAGGCGTCACCCTCCAGCTACAGCACCCCAAGAGAGAAGCAAAGTGTTCTGACAGCTGCCTGAGCTGTCAGAGATCTGTGCTACATTGAGGTCCTTAGTACTTTTGGATGCAAAGTTTTGATACTTACTTATAAAAGTAAAGTTCACAAATACAGCTCACAAAAGCCAGGAGACATCTCAGAAAGTAGAAGACAAGAATCTGAAAGAAACCCAGAGAAAAAACACAGAAGTTAGCAACAGGAGCCTAAAAGTTTGTAAGGATGAAAAGTTCTCGCCAGTTGTGGTGGTGCGCACCGGTAGGATTTGCTGAAGGATGAAAAGTTCTCATTTGTTGTCAGTAAACTGTGCTATAAGCTGGTATAATCCTCCTGAAAAGCTGAATTTATTGAGAACCACACAAACTTTCACATCCCCAGACTCAGTATACCTACTTCTTTTACTGCAGGAGGAGTGGGAGACACCATTCATAAAAACATCTACTGCATCACTATTAATGTAGTAAAAACTACAAATATCCAATGAAAGTAGATATGTAAGTAACCATGCTGCATCCATTTCAGAGTACTGAACAAGTATAAACACTCGGGGTTGCAAAGATGGAAAAACCTGTGATACCTTGCATTTGCTGCTCACCAACTAGTTCTCTTCTTCTCCCTTCCTCTCCCTTTTAATACAGAATCTCACACTATAGCTCAAGTTACCCTGGAACTCCCTATGGATCCCAGGATGACTTAAAGCCTATAGCAATCCTTTTGCTTCAGCCTCCCAACTGCTAGGATTGTACATATAAGCCACTTCACCTGGCTAAAAAGCACTTGTTAAACAGCCATAAAAATTTAAATACCGATTATTTACGAAATATGACAGCATTACAGCTCTGGAAATTACATGCATCTGAAAGACACACTGGTTAAGAGGAGATATGGCAGCGTACTGGGTATTTAACTCCTATCTTCTAAACATGTGTACTATGGACTAATCATTGGCATAAGTTTAGTAAAAATAACAATAAGGGTTGTGTTGTATTGACTGGCTCTTAAGATTTACTTATTTTTATTTTATGTGTATGTGTGCTTTCCCTGCATGCTGTTCACCACTTTCATGCAGTGCTCAAGGAGGCCAGAAGAGGGCATCAGATTCCCTGGAGCTGCAGTTACAGAAGGTGGTCAATTGCCACGTGGTTGCTGAGATGTGAGCCCCGGTCCCCTGGAAGAGCATCCAGTGCTCTTGGACCCGATGAGCCACCTTTCTAGCCCCATGGTTAGCTTTCACACAGTAGAGCACTGTACATGAAGAGCACTGAATCCTTAGAGTGTAACTCTGCTTCCATACACAGCAAGATAAATGTTAAATACCCACATGGAAACATTGCCCATGCTTGTCACTACAACTAACAGAATTCCCAAAAGAGTTTCATAAAAAGCCCACGAGAGTCAGACTCATTAATATAACACGGAAAGTCTACTACACAATGAACACTGTACAGGTGTCACAGGGGCAGATACTTTAAAACAAGTGTCTATGATAAGGACTCCTCATACTATGGAGCATTTGAAAGTTAAAGAAATGAACTGGAGCTGAAGAGATGGCTCAGAGGGTAGATCACACACTACTCCTTCAGAGGACCCCGGTTCAGTTCCCAGCATCCATGTCAGGAGGCTCACAACCACCTATAATTCCAGCTCCAGGAGATCTGACAATTCCTTCTGGCCTGTAGACACCTGCACTCTCCTGTACACACAGACACACACATACACAAGATAAAGTTTAAAACTGAACTCGTCTAAGACTGTTCAGCAGCAGGACAATGATGCCATCGGCTCCCTTATCAGTACTTAACTGAAAGTCCCAGTAAGTGCAAAAAGAAATGAGGTCTAAGGAACAGAATGAGAAAAAGAAAATTTATAGCTATGGTTTGTCCCTAAGTGTTTGAGTAATAGAAGCTTGGTCTCCAGAGCAGACATTAAGAAGATGAACTTACAAGAAGTAGGTCCTGGTAGACAGCAAGGAGGCTTAGTGGGTTCTGCTTAATGAATAGGTTAGTACTCTCTCTGAAGGGACAAGTCTTTTTTTTGTTTTGTTTTGTTTTGTTTTGTTTTTACGAGACAGGGTTTCTCTGTATTATTTTGGAGGCTATCGGTCCAGCCTGGCCTCGAGCTCACAGAGATCCACCTGCCTCTGCCTCCCGAGTGCTGGGATTAAAGGCGTGCGCCACCACCACCAGGTGGGACAAGTCTTCATGGGACTGGACTAGTTCCCTTACGAATGGGCTGTCGCGGAGTTGAGTATGCTGCCTTGGCTTTACCCTCAGGTATACACCTAGCTTCTTTCTGCTTCTCCTTCAACTGACAGGGTGCCCTTGCCAGCAAAAACACGGCAGGCAAGTCAACAGAGCTGGGCTCTAAACAAATAACACCCACATCTAAAGTCATGAAGGGACATGCACAAAACCTACAGACCGGAGAGAAAAGGAGGAAATCCAGTAGCAGCTAGGTGAGGAGGTTCGGGTCTTTTTTCATTCTTTCTCATTTTATTTTCTGAATAAATAAACTTATTTAATTATTTTACAGCCCAGCTGCAGTTTTCCTCCTTCCTCTCCTCCCAGTCTCCCCCCACTCTCCCTCTGTTCCCACTCCCCTAATTCACTCCTCCTTCGTTTAGGAAAGGGCAAGCCTCCCATGGCATATAAAGTTGCAATAAGACTAAGCACCTCTTCATGTATTAAGGCTGGGCAAGGCAACCCAGTATGAGGAGTAGGGTCCCAAAAGCCAATAAAAGTCGGAGACAGCCTCTGCTCCCACTGTTAGGAGTCCTACAAGAGGACCAAGCTATACAACTATCACATATATACAGAGTGTCTAGGTCAGCCCCATGCAGGCTCCCTGACTGTCAGTCAGTTCATTCTCTGTGAACCCAGGTTAGTTGATTCTGTGAGTTTTCGTGTAGTGTCCTTGACCCCTTTGGCTCCTGCAATCCTTTCTCCCCCTCTTCTGCTGGATTCCCTGATCTCCACCTAATGTTTGGCTGTGGATCTGTGCATCTGTTGCTATCAGTTACTGATGAAGCCCTTCTGAAGACCAATCTGGTCACAGGAGATGGCCAGTTCAGGCTTTGTATCCGCTATTGCTAGGGATCTTGGCAGGGGTCATCCTTGTAGATTCCTAGGAGATTCCTTTGTGCCAGGTTTCTACCTGGCCCCGAAATGCCTCCCTTTCCAGGAGTCTCTTTCAGTACCCTCCCCTTCCATCTCCCACCAATGATTGTTCATGTTCCCCTCCTCACCTGCCATCAGACCACTCACAAAATCCCTTCTAGTTCCCCTTCCCAGAGAGATCCAGGCATCTCTCCATGCTACCTGTCTCTCTGGGTCTGTGGTTTATACCATAGTTATCTTTTATTTTACAGCTAATATCCACTTATGAGTGAGTACATACCATGTTTGTCTTTCTGGGTCTGGGTTATCTCACTCAGGATGGCTTTTTTCTACTTCTATCCATTTGGGAGGCTCACATCTTAATCACACACTCAGGAAGCTGAGGCAGGAGGACTGCCAGGAATTTGCAGCTACCTGGATTGCAGAGTGAGCACCAGGCCAGTCACAGCTACCTACAGAGTGAGAGCCTATCCCAAAAGAAAACCTAATTAAAAAACAAGTAAAGGATGTGAAAGGATAATTCACAAAAAAGGAAATCTGAATGACAGATACACAAGGCACATTCCATCCACTAACAGCCAGGGAACACAGACACAAGGAAATCAGAGAGAAGAACGGTTGCAGGGCACACTAGTCTTCAAAGCTACATGGAGACTGAACAAGAGTCAGGGCCTCTGTGTGGGGTCTCACCCTTGTCTTGTCAGAAATCCACACACAGATGCAGAAGCAGAGAACTACTCACACTGGGAGTAGCAAGAAGGGGGAAAGGCAGCCATGAGTAGAGCGCCAAGCATCGCCACATCACCACACTCTGTCACCAACAACCTACTTTATTCTTCACCATTAGGATGGGGGTGGGGGAACACACCACAACTGTGCTTCTCAACCTCCATAATACAGCTAGGACCCTTTAATACAGTTCCTCATGTTGTGGTGTCCCCCAACGATAAAACTATTTCGTTGCTACTTCGTAACTGTATTTTGTACTGTTATGAATCATAATGTAAATATCTCATATGCAGGGTATCCCTATCCAACAGGTTGAGAACCACTGCTCTACAAGCTATAGTTCTCTTTATTTGTGGGTCTCTATTGACTACCAGGGAGAAGAGACTGAAGTATGAACAAAAGGGAAGTCTTCCTGGTTAGTTTTTATTATCCACGTGACATAAACTAGCATAATCAGGGAAGAGACTCACCCTTGAAGATCTGCCTTAATCAAAATAATCTGGGACCATATCTGTGAGAGACTGTTTGATGATTGATGTAGGGGGCCCAGCCCACTGTGGGCAGCACCATCCCTAAGAAAAATAGACCTGGACTGTATAAAAAGCTAGCTAAAAAGTTAGCTTGAATCCTAGGCAGAGATAGATCTTTGTAAGTTCAGGATAAGCCAGTTTACAAAAACAAGAAAGACAAATGATTAAGAGCCAGGCCGGCATACCAGAAAGCAGCATTTCTCCATAGTTTCTGTTTTACTCCCTGCTTGAGTTCCTGCCCTGACTGCCCTTAATGATGGATTATGACCTGGAAGTATAAGCCAAACGGCTCCTTTTCCTCCAAGTTGCTTTTAGTCAGAATATGTTTATCACAGCAACAGGATGAAATTGGAACACATGCTGTTCACACCACAAATGTAAGGTAAGCTACAGAAGAACAATTCTAGAAACATCAAGTTCAATGTGATAATGGATACTCAACTAGATATTAAAATGTAAGCACTGAAAATTGCTGGTCTCTACTCTTATTTTTACTCTAACAAATTCGGGAGCATGGGGCTGGAGAGATGGCTCAGTAGTTAAGAGCATTGGCTGCTCTTCCAGGGGTCCTGAGTTCAATTCTCAGCAACCACGTGGTGGCTCACAACCATCTGTAATGAGATCTGGTGCCCTCTTCTGACCTGCAGGCATACACGCATAACAAAGCCTAAAAAGCCAGAAATTAGATACTTGGTAGAAAAGGGAGCGATAGTGTTGCTTGGCATTGGTGGTGCACACCTTTAGTCCCAGCACTCGGGAGGCAGAGGCAAGCAAATCTCTGTTCCAGGCCAGCCTTATCTATAGAGAGTTTTCCAGGACAGCCTCCAAAACAATACAGAGAAACCCTGTCTTGGAAAAAAAAAAAAAGGGAGAGTTAGTGTCCTGTCACTTTCTATGTGTGCTATTTCTCTGATCATTGTGAAATCCATCTGTAACCATGGCTCTTTTCCAAAAACTTTAACAACAACAACAACAACAACAACAAAAAAAAAAACCCACCAGTATTTCCTAATAGATGCTATCAGATCTTAAATAAATTTGGCCTCTTCCTATTTTTCAGACTCATTTAATCCATGCCACTCTCTACGAATCATACTGATTTATATGATAAATAACTCAGGCCTTTTTCCTATCCTTAGGCCTTCAATTAGACCTCTCTATTCCCAGAGCTAGAGAGATGGCTCAGCAGTTGACAAAGTATGTGTTGTTAATTCCAGAGGAATGGAGTTCAAGTCCCAGCACCACACGAAAGGCAGCTAAGCCACCTGTAACTACAACTTCAAGGGTCTGATACCTATGGACTCCACAAGCTTGTGTGCATATGCATGTGTGTGTGTGTGTGTGTGTGTGTGTGTGCATTCACTCACACACACACTTAAAAATAACAGTTAAAAACTTCTCAGATTTGGGGCTACCCCATCATGCTTTGTCCTTTTTTCCCATAAACCTTCTACATTTTGAATTATTGAATGTTTCTCTTCCCCCAAGGAACTGCAATTTCCATGAAGGCAGACTCAACTTGGCCATTGTCCCATTACTTAACATAATCCAAAAGATTGTCCTCTAACCTCCACATTGCTAACACACCCACACCCACATGTGATCATACACACACAATTTAGGGGAAAAAAAAGTTGGGCCTGATAGCCCAGGCCCACAAACACAGGAATTTGGGAAATGGAGTCCAAATGGAAATGTGAGTCCAAAAATTCCAGACTCATCTACAGAACACAACAAAATGAAAGGAGGAGAGAAAGAAATCAGCCTCTTAACTAACTGTCAGTGGATTTTTCCCCTTTCAAAAGTGCTCTCAGACATACCTATTGATCGAAGTGATTGCCATCAGGCTAGCCAACCTTACCTTATTAGTCTGCAGAATCCGTGCATGAAATGCAGCTGGCCAGGCATGCAGCAACAGGTAAGCATATGAGCGAATGGCATACACCGGGGAATACTCCCACGTCTGAAACCCCTTCCCATAGATGAGGTAGTGTGTCTGAAAGCAGAAACAGATGCGCTCAGGGTTGTACTAGCAAAGTCCCTCCTAAGGGTTACAGGTGGAGATGCTGTGTCGAAACTGTTAGAGACAAAATGTTGAGAATTAACATTTGCAACTAATGCATAAGAGAAACGAATGACCTCATATTTTTTAATTAAGAAACTAAATTTTTTACTGTATTTCCTTAAAATAATGTTTAACCAAAAAGAGAAACTCTTATTTTCCTTAAATTATACACACTAAGCAAGCATCTTTCCTCTGGTTTTTGATACAAATGTGTTTGGGTAAATTTACTTCCTGTACTAGGAAGTCAGCAAGCAATACATAAACATGTAAATCAAGAAACAATATTACAAGTACACTATTATAGCGTGCATTCTTCCTGACAGCCTGGTCCCAGAGCCTCATCAGTCCCAAATGAACCCACAGGACACTATATTAATTATAAAGCTGTTGGCCATTTGCTACGGTTTCTCATTGGCTAGCTCTGACTTAATTATTAACCCATAACTGCTAATCTGAGTATTTCAATGTGGTCTTCTCTTACCAGAAAAATGGTCGGGACCTCTTCTCTCGCATCCTACATGGTGACTCACTGTGCCTCTGTTTCCCAGAATCCTCCTTGACTTCTAGTCCCACCTATCTTGCTTCTCTATTGGCCAACAGTGCTCTATTCATCAACCAGTAAGACAGACATACACACTATTAGTAACACTATTGTCTTCCCTAGGGCTACTTTTGCTGTGATGAAACACCACTACACAAAGCAACTTGGGGAATAAAGGGTATATCTCTTCTTTTTTTATTATTTTATTTTTCATTATTTAAAACAATTTTCAAAATCAAATATATTTTCATCATATTTGTCCCCTCCTCCAAGTCCTCCAGATCTTCCCCCTCCCTACACACCCAACTTAAAGTTCTTTCTCAAAAAAGAAACAATGATCCAATACAAGAAAACAAAATAAGTACACATCCAAAAAGGGGAAAACAAAAAACCCACCAAACAATAACCAAATAAAACCACACACACACAAAGAAAAAAACTGTGGAGTTCAATCATATATTGGTCAACTACCCTGAACATGAAGTCTGTCCTGGAGTGGTTGATATATACCCTGCATCACTCACTTTATTGAAGAAAACCGATTTTCCCTCTAATGACAGTTCAATTGTTAACCTTTACCCTGGTGCCTAGGTTTTTCATTCATTCACTCACTTTAATAAAATACAACAAAATAAAATATAAGAAGTGAGCAATAGCGGCACACGCCTTTATTTCCAGCACTTGGGAGACAGAGGCAAGTGGATCTCTGTGAGTTCGAGGCCAGCCTGGTAGCTATTTCCAGGACAGCTAGGGCTGTTACACAGAGAAACCCTTCCTTGAAAAAACTATATATATATATATATATATATATACACACACACACACACACACACACACACACACACACACACACATATATATGAACTATCACATCGAAGTTGGACAGGACAAACCAACAGAAGGAAACTCACGGCTCCATTTAACAGTCCAGCATCAAGAGCAGAAAGCACAGGGACTCATACAGGGCAGGAGCCTGGGAGCAGGCGCTGATGCAGAGGCCATGGAAGGTGCTGTTCACTGGCGGGTTCCATGCCTTGCTCCACCTGCTTTCTCATAGAACCCAGGACAACCAGCACAGAGATGACACCACCGGCAATGGGCCAGGCCCTCACCCATCAATCACTAATTAAGAAAATGTCCTACAGGCTTGCCTATATCCCAATCTCTCCACTCCCTTTTCTAATGATTCTTGCTTGTGTCCAGCTGACAAAAAATAAGCCAGCACAACTATTTTGGCAAACATCAGAAGAAATAAACTTTAAAAGGTGGAAGAATGTACCTGCCCTCTAGGAAGTGGGATCTGGACAGGAAGGAAATGGATAATTGTACTTCCCTCAAATTTTGGAGTAACTGTCAGCTTTAAACCTACATCTACAAGCATTAGACTTACAAAACCACTTAAAAGACAATAAGTCTCACCTTTGAGTATGTCAGCTAAAGGTCATAGACTTCAAAACTACTTAAATCAACAGTCTGAGCTTTTTTAAAGACCTGCTTTATTTATGTGTGGATGTCTGCATGAGTGTTTGCATGCATGTGTGTCTGTGGAGACCACGAGAGGGCATCAGATATTTATTTGTTTACTTATTTATTTATTGTTAAGAAAGGGTCTCTTTATGTAGCCCTGGCTGTCCCGGCATTTGCTCTGTAGACCAGTCTGGCCTTGAACTCACAGAGATCCACTGCCTCTGCTTCCAGAATGCTATGATGAAAGGTGTGCGCCACCACACTGTGCTGTCATGATTTGGATTTGGAGTCACTTGAATTTAGCTGCTAGAATTTGAACTATAATCCTCATGACTGAGCAACAAGTGCTCTTACCCACTGAGTCATCTCTCCAGCCCCAAATCAACAGTTTTTGGGATATAAAAGTGAAAACAATTTATTTTAGTATTTTCACACTTGTATTTGACTTGTTTGTTCATTAGTACCAAATCAAGATCAAAGGCCAAATCCCAGAACTGGGGGCTAGGGGAGCAGCCCAGGGGAAAAGCATGTGCCTAACACGCCCAAGACCATGGGTTCCCTAGGATTGCAAAAGTAAAACAAAACAAAAAACCAGCTAAAGAGATCACCTACTGGTTCCCAGTAGTTGAATGTTTCGTCACAGTCAGAGATGTTGCTCAGAAGAGCTGCACACAGCCTTGCTGAGAGCAGACATTTGAAAGCAGTGGATCCTTCGGGGGCCCAGACTTGCCCTGCTTTATTTCCAGACCTGGACAGAAGGCAAAGCAAAACCGTTAGTGTATCAAGAAGCCTGCTATCGAAAACTTAAACCCAGTCAGAAAAGACAGGAATGGCCAAAGACGGCAATGCAATAAAGCCATTCACCTAAAAGAAGGACTCGTCACGTCTGAGCAGAATAAATACAGGATTGCATTTTCAACACCTTCCACCTCCTGCTTTAGGGCATACACCAGTTCATACACCCGCAACACTCCCTTTCACCTCAAGCCAATTAATCATTCACTTGAAGGCCACGATGCTCTCTCTCTCTCCATTTCTTAGGGTCATCCCTTGCCAAGACTTTCTCTGCTGGCTGGCCCCTCCTTCAAATGAATGGAGGCCTAATACAAAGTGCAGGTGAATCAGACAGTTTACTGCAGACCTCACCTACAGGCTACGGGCTTGCTGATGGATTCGAGGGCTGCAGGCCCAGAGAAAACAGCAAACAGGGGCTACTGGGAGAGCAACTGAGCAGCAGGAAGTGAGACTCCGGTGTAAAAGGCAGATTCTCCTGCCAACAGCTCCCACAGAGGCTCGGCTAACTCTACCAGCACGAAGCCTGCTCAGTGTGGCCCTGAATCTGAGGCATGCCAGAGCTGCTCTCCAATAATACAGGGGCCCGCGGGGGTAAGCAAGGATCAACCCGAAGCCGCTGGCCAGCCGAGCCGGCTCGCAGCGGAGACCCCTGGGCCGCCCGACCCTCCCGCCCGCCACGCCCTCCGGCCGCACACGCACTCTGGCCGCTGTTCCGCGCTGCCTGCTTCCCGGCTGCCCAGCAGCTCCCGCAGCTTCTCCACGGCCGGGCCCGCGTCCCCGCCGCTGCCGCTGCCGCCGCCCTTGAGGCGCTGCCGGGCCCTTCGGCTCGCCATGCCAAGCGACTGGGGAAAGGGTAGAACTCCGCACGCTACGGAATCGGCGAAAGCGCAGACATGGCTTGGTTAGGAAACGGTGTCCGCCGAGGGACAAAAAGCCTTGACATGCGCAGAAAAGACTAAAATAGTGTGTCACTGGACCGATTTTGTCGAAGGCGGGGACAGGCTACTGCTAGCCCTCCCACTTCTAACGCTGAGTATTTCTCCCTTCCTTTAATTTGCTTCTTTCCGTGTCTCAGTACTCTACACCTGCCAGTGCTACAAAGTGTAGTGTGCGGAGGAGCACCGTACAGCGGCTACTTAAGGGGAGGTCTCTAAAAGGTTGCTTAAACATTTAACACCTTGCTGTGTCTTGTTGAGAGCAATGGAGACACAAACCAGTAAGGCCAGAATACAGACTGAGAAGTGAAAGCTTGAGGAAATGCTATGTAGAAAATCCAAGCAGACATTTATCACGGGTGTTGCTACTACAGTGCAGCTGTAGGCACTTGACATACAAGCTTTTTAATTCTCTCAGCCGCCTTGCTTTTACTGATAAGGAAGCCAAGGTCCAGAGATGCCTGGCTAATAAATGGAGCTATATTCCATTCCAATTGAGGACCGAGTACAAACATACTGTTTTCGCTACATCAACAAAAGCCCTTGTTGGGAAGAGTTTGTTTTTAAAGGGGACTGGGGGTCCAGACTTGGTTTTAGAGGCGTTTATAACAACACTTTACCAAAAAAAAAAAAAAAAAAAAAGAGGAAGGAAAGAAAGGGGGAAGAAAAAAAGATGTCAGGCGGTGGTGGCACAGGCCTTTAATCTCAGCACTTGGGAGGCAGAGGCAGGCAGATCTCTGAGTTCAAGGCCAGTCTGGTCTACAGATCGAGTTCCAGGACAGCCAGAGAAACCCTGTCTTGAAAATCCAAATAAATAAATAAAAATTAAAATGGAACTTGATTATATGGATCAGTTCCCATACATCATTAGTTACCAAGCCCAAATATCCAACTTCAGTGGGACTCATATACATCCTTATTTCCTTTCCTGGAAACTGGGAGAGAGTGAAGTAGTGAACAGAGTAGGTCTTTGGTCACACAGACCCAATGTCAACACAAGCTCCAATACTTGAGTTCTGTCATTGACAATTCTTAGCGTGTCAACGACAGAGAGAAACAGCAGTACAGTGATCATAATCGCAAATGTGTAGCACATGCAGCGAGACGCTCAAACTCAGTGAGATGACACAGAGGAACTGAGAATGTGGGAAACATACTTACAAATACATGTGGTCAGACATCCAGACTACAGCCTCTTCAGCAAGGGAGCAGCTAAGTACACACGCTTGTTTTGTTTGGTTTTTAGTCATTACTCAAGATCAGAAAACTGAACTACAACAAGGTCACCAGTTACATCAGTCTATAATGGTATTTTTGTTTGTCTTTGGTTTAGCTTGGTTTGGTTCTTTGAGACAGGATCTCATTATGTGACCTTGGATGGCCTCAAACACAGACACCTGCCTGCCTCTGTCTCCTGAACACTGGCTCAAAAGAATGCACCCCCACCACCCTAGTCAGTCTGTAGGTTTAAGTTTTGTTCACAGATATCTTTAGGGTCCATCAAAACTACTTCGGTCACAATAAAAAAATATTTATATACCACCAAAAAAAAAAAAAACCCCACAGATTCCAGAAAGGACTAACAATTGCAAGTTTTTTCTTTTCCACCCACGTACAATACACAATTTGGGGTCCCGCTGTAGAAAGTACCTTCTGGCCTATCGGGGTGAAACATGTAGCTGTCTTTGAATCTCTCTTCTAAACCGGGACTGCATTGATGCTGCCAGCTGTGGGCTGAGCGCCTTATCACAGGCCTGATAAGTCAATCTATAGCAGAGACTGACCTGTGCAGTCTCCGGGTGCTGAAAACGGCCAAGGAACTGTATGGAGATAACAGTGTCCTGGGACACTGCTCGGGCTACAGTGTGAAACTCAAGTTCATCAAATCCTTTCTTTTCGTCTAACCAGAAACTAATATCATGCACATAGCAAGGAGGATACAGGGAATAGCTTTTAAAGTGTTCTATCTTCCCAGGGGCAAATCTTTTCAGGAAACGGTTATCAAAAGTCCACAATATCCTCCAATCAGAAATGTCATAGACAAGCATGGCTAGTAAGTCCAAGTTTATAGAAACAAACGCAAAACACGGATGTTTATGTGTCACAGCTGTAGATGTGACAACAGTCCCAATAATCAGATTCTCCGTACAATCTGGGCCCAAATGAAGAGACTTCCCGTGAATTATATGATCCTTTCCATTTGGCTGAAGGACAAACTCCACTGAAGTCCTCAAACTGGAGCCCTCCAGCAATGTCTCAGTGAGAAGGTTATCTAGACTATCCTTCAGTCGATCCAGCAGGGATGCAAGGCAGGTACCCTTCCTATTTTTATTTAACCCAAGGATAAAAAGAGTCTCATGAAACGCTGGCATCATGAAAGGCAAAATGTGACACTTCCGAAAGACGGGCCCACTGAGGATGTGCAAGCAGCCTGGGAGGAAGTCTGGTGACTGGATGACAGCCTCAGCATGAGCCAGAAGAGAGGATCTGAGGCGGAGCCTGACCTGCTCACGGGTTCCCTCCTGAGCTGCTCCGTAGCCATCTCTCCCAGGACTCTTGGGAAGGGCGAGTTCTGCAAATGACAGGAGAACATCTTCCATTTCTTGTGTTATTTCACCAGTCAGGGACTCAGAATATGATTTATCTTCATGGAGACTAACCCAAAAGGCAGGCAGAGGGTCGAAAGTCCCTGGAGGGAGGACACTGGTGCCTCCCTGTGACAACAAAGGGAAGGAACACTTCAGTCTCTTTAAAGGAAAATATCTGCCCAATTCAGCAATGAGTTTCTCGTTGATGGTTTTGACAGGATGACAGGAAGATGCTTCAAGGAAGCGCCTGTTTAAACACATAGAATAATTTTTCACTTACAATAGTAATTATAATTGCTAGCATTAAAATCATTTGTTCTTATTTAGAAAACAATTGTCCTTAAACTGATCCTGAAAATAAATCATTGTTCATATGGAGAAATAGCATGTATATTTTTTGAAATAGCCTGTACAGTTTTTGATTTGGTTTGGGGCTTTTTGTTTGTTTATTTTGGTTTTTTTTTTTTTTTTTGCAATGATGGGAGCAAATTTCAGGCCTGGCGCATGCTGGGCAAGTTATTCTACCACTGAACTATACTCCCAGGCCTGGAGAATTACCATATAGTCTAGGACTCTGTCACCACCCCTACGGTATCATCAGCCTGGCAAGCACCTGGAGCACCAACATCATTAACAATTCATGGACCATCCCTTCAAAATGAAGTGCCCATTAGGACAATCATGGCACAAATTGGGACAGAAGTGCTTTCCAGCATACCAAAAGATTACCTATTCAGCTTTCCTGCCAGTGCTTCTGGCTCTGTACAGGAAAAGCACCGGTCCCCCAGTCGGACCCTGAGTGCTCTGGGCTGACAGCCTTCCAAGGGTGAGCTCTGGGTGAAGACGTGATTCATGGCGCCTTCTACTCGGAACGACTTAGCCTGGCTCCTGCCAAGGTAAAGGAACAGACAACTTCTTTAAACTAAATATTACATGTTTACTTTTTTTTTTTTTTTGGTTTTACGAGACAAGGTTTCTCTGTATTGTTTTGGAGGCTGTTGGTCCATCCCAGACTCAAACTCACAGCGAACCGCCTGCCTCTGCCTCCCAAGTGCTGGGATTAAAGGTGTGTGCCACCACCGCCCGGCACTTGTTTACATTTTATTAGTTTAAATATATTTACATTTTAGTTTAAATTAAATAATGTATATATGTGTGTGAGTAGGCTGCTATTAGTAAAAAAAAAAGGTACTTTTGAAACTAAATCAGGAAGTCAAAAGGGAAAAAGCCTGCTTTTGATTTTTTTTATTACTTCATGCAAGAGCTGAAAGGAGGGAAGGCTTATGCTATTACTCACCTATACCCAGTGCACTTGTATCCTGGCACAGCCTCACAACTGAAGGGATACACATCGCTTAAAATGAACCCTCCCAGGGCTGCCATGGCAACCACTTGCCAACTGTTGTGCCACTCTCTCTGGGGCTTATCAGCAGGGGTTCCCCCTTGTCCTCTACACAGGGCCACGTGGACTTGTCCTTCCTTCGCAAGAACATCAGCACAGCTTATAGAGGACAAACACCAGAAATGTATCAACAACAGAAATAACAGTAGGAATCAGCAATAGGCACATGGTTTAGCTCTGAAATAATCAAAATTCACCTGAGCATGTTAAAAATATAACTAAAAGTCCACTTGTGTCCCCGCAACAGCATTGTTCACCAGCTTTGCATTTGTGTTGTTTTCCTGTACGCCTCAGAAAGGCCCTCCAGCATTATCTGTCTAGTATACTGCTGTAAAGCACTGTACTAAAGTCATAATCATCTTAAGAGGCATCTACTATTGGTAACCCCAGTTTACAGGTACCGAGAAAGAAACAGTAAGGACTAAAGTTGCCTACAGTTTTAACTAGTAAGTGGTGAGCCAGCATTTGAACCCAGGGCATGTGGCTCTTAAATCCATGCTCTTAGTCATCAGACTATACTGGCTCTTACTATTTTGCATTTAAAGACATTTTGGGAGTGAGCTGGAGAGAGCATTCTGCAGTTAAGAGACTGGCTGGCTGGCTGTTTAGCGGCTCAATTCCCAGCACCCACAGGACAGTGACACCCATCAGAACTCCAGTCCCAGGAGATCCAAATGCCCTCTTCTGGTCTCACTGGGCATCAGGCACACTCATGATGCGCAGGCATGCATGCCAACAAAACACCTATATACATTTTTTTTTTTGAGACAGGGCTTCTCTGTGTAGCTTTGTAGACCAGGCTGGCCTCGAACTCACAGAGATCTGCCTGCCTCTGCCTCCCGAGTGCTGGAATTTAAAGGTGTGTGCCTCCACCGCACAGCTTAAAAAAATTTTTTAAAACAATTTGGGATCATCGAGATGGACCAGTGAGTAATGGTGCTTGCCACCATGCATGGCAGTCTAAGGTCTGTCCCCCAGATTCACGAGGGAAGGAGAACCGACTCCTCTAAATTGTTCTCTGACCTCCACACCCATACATTAAACACATACAGACAGACACTAATTAAAGTTTTAAAAATAATCTTGCCCCTTTCCTCCTAAGGTCTACTTGTGCTTTTACATCTAGGGTTATATGACTCATGTTAAGGCAAGACTGTGGTTTCCTCTGGGTTTTATCTTCTTTCCACGTTTATCCTAGCCACTTACACACGTCTGCCTTATTTCCCCAACTAAAAAGTTTGCGTGTGGTAACTTGGTCATGGACACCTGGAAATTTTCCCATGCGAGGACTCTCCTCACCTCTGAAAAAACTTGGCAAGCAGTTCCCTGTTCTTAGCTACTCCAGCTTTTCGTCCGCAGTGCGGAAAGTTGAAATAAATTCGATCAAAGTCTCTTTCGTGTGCTTGCAAGGCACGTGCCAGTTGGGTGCAATCCACACCAAAACGGACTTCGACACCTGGCAAAGAAGGTTTAAAGGCGTCAAATATAGACCAAAAGAAGTCTTAAGATGTGTAACCCGGACGAACACAGAACCGCACACCAGCCCAGGCCTGGGCACACAGCACTTCCACACGAGAACCCCTAGGAGGCGCACTCGCATTCCCAAAGCGAGCCACACCCCCACGCTCTGGGCCGGGTCTGGCGGAGGGGTGGGACCCGGTACCTCGCTCGCGCAGGCGCTGGAGGTTCTCCTGGGTCACGGGATCCCCCTCCAGATCGGCCGGGTGCTGGAGGCAGGTGGCGGTAACACTGACTCCGGGATCCAGGGTATCGATCAGAGAAGCGGTGAAGGAGAAATTCCCTTCCCCGACCAACAGGAGGCGCCTAGGAACCATGATGTCCTTAGACTCCCTGCCGGCGCTCTCTGGAACGCACATTTTGCGTCACTTCCTTCGCATAGGCCTCGCCTCCCCCCCCCCGGCCGGCACTAGGTGATGACGCATCAACAGAGCGTGGTTGCCTGGAAAAACACTTAATGCCACTGCCAGGGAAGCAACAAGCTCAAAAATGAGATGGAGCTATCGACATTGCCTCGTCTCCTTCGTGCGCCTCGGAAGTCTCTTTTGCTTTTCAGAATAAGGACGGACCTGAGCGTCTTCGCCACACCTGCTTGAGGTCACAAAACAGTCACCAGCTGAGGGGCGAGGCGAGTCGGGCGTGTTCCAGTGGCTCAGGGGTTTGGAGCTGCATGGCTACCTCCTGTTTTCTCAGCTGCTGCTCAACATATATCCGGGTGCTTGTATGTCCGATTTTCAAGAAAAATAATAATAAAAGCATTGAATGCCTGTTTTGTTCCACAGGGCACTGTGAGAGCAGTTACGTCTGTGGATGGATCAGAAGTGACCTGCCTACTGTCAGATAACGAATGCACATAACCAAAGGAGGCAACTCTAGTATAATGGGGCGTGTACCCAGCGTGAGTGAAGGAATTCAGATCACACAAGCACACACAATGGGGAACACTACCAAGTTGGGGAAGGGAGGTATAGATTCCCTGAAGAAAGCTTGTGTTGAAAGCTAATGGGAAATGGGGGCGGGGGTTCATTTTATCTAGGTAAAAAGGATTACAGTCAGAACGACGGTTACAAATACATAATGAAAAAAAAAGCGGTTACATTTGACTGGCTGCCCACTATAAGAGAGTGAGTAGCAGGTGACACGAAAGGGTTCAAAGGTGGCCAGGTCATATGGAGTGTTGTAGCCATAACAGCCTAAACCTTATTCTGAGAATATAGAATGCCACTAAAAATCCAGTATGTCAGCCAACAGGAGGCTGATGAAGAAGCTTGAGGAGGTCTCAAGGTATGAAATGAAAAACTTTGATAACATCCAGGTTGACTAAGCCATTTTATTTGACAAGGGCTTTTTGTTCTTGGAAGTCTACCTGATAAAGTGGCGTCCGGAAAAAATCAACTTTCTACCCAAGATCGCATTTAACATGAAGATCTGTCCCCCTAACATTGATGAGAGGGGGCATGTCTGTCTGCCTGTGATTGTCTGAAAACTAGAAGATAACCACATAGTAATGCATTCCATAATAGTACTGGTGAGTGATCCCCCACCTAAGCACCCACCCTGGGCTGACCTAGCTAAAGAACGCTCTATGGACCATTTAAAAATGCTGAAAGAATGCTGAAGAATTTACAAAGAAATATGAGGGAAAGTGATCTGCAGACTAAAATCCGCCCTGAGCGGTCCCTGCAAATTTGAGCAGAGACCCCAATCGGTGCATTCCTTAAAGGCAGGCATTCGTGAAATTGATGAGTGCTACCACCTGTTGCTTGGTTATGGCAGTCACTTTCTACAGTTTCCTTAATCAAAATGGTCTAGATAGGGGCTGGAGAGATGGCTCAAAGGATAAGAGCACTGGCTGCTCTTCCAGCGGTCTTGAGTTCGAGTCCCAGCAACCACATGGTGGCTCATAACCATCTGTAATGAGATCCAACACCCTCTTATGGCCTGCAGGCATACATGTAGGCAGAACACTGTATACATAAAAAATAAATATTAAAAAAATGGTCTAGATAACCGGTAAAGTTGGATTAAAAAGTCAGATGTTCTAACAACGAAAGTCCCTAAGAGATTTAAAGTGGGAAGATGCCATTTTTGTTTGTTTGTTTGTTTTCAAAAATTACTTTCCTGCCAGGCAGTGGTGGCACATGCCTTGATCCCAGCACTTGGGAGGCAGAGAGTCAGGTGGATCTCTGTGCGTTTGAGGCCAGCCTGGTCTACAGAGTGAGTGCCAGGACAGTCAGAGCTACATAGAGAAACTCTGTCTTGAAAAACAGAAGAAGAGGAGGGGGAGGAAGAGAAGGAGGAGGAGGAAAGAAAGAACCTACTTTTTTGTGGAGAAAGGATGGGGCAAGAACAAGGTTGATGACAAGGAAATCAGGTAAGAAGCTACTTGCAATAATGGGGACAAAAGGAGACAGCGGTCTGAATTGGAAATTGGCAGTGAAGATGAAAAGCAGTGGACTCATTCAGAAATAGCAACAAGACTTGGTGACTGACGGAATGTCAGAAGAAAAGTAAAAAAAAAAATCCTTGATTTTCAGTCTCAGCAGTGAGTGGATGTCTGTCATTCTAGCTCTAGGGACAGCATCACCTCTAAACATTAAGCCTATTAGGCTTTCTGGGTCCAGCTACCCAAGTCATGCTGTTGGTGACATCAGCACATGCATGCACATATCTTCACAAAGGTAGATGATGTGAGGGCAGTTACCTATGATCTCATCCTTCATTGCTGCAGTATTGGCTTTGTCTGTCCATGAAGAGGCAGTTGGGTTGTGTCTCTCAGACCATGACCATGTGTCCATGGTGATGTGTATGCCTTTGTTTGGGAAACAAGAGATCAGGTTTGGAGACATCTTTAATGAACATGGAACAGCCACATAAGAATTTCTGTGTCTCTCTGAGATTATCAAACAAATCAATGTATTCACCATCAAGTTACTCATCGATACTACAGGTATTATCTTGCTTTTTAGCCCAGGGACCAGGTTTATTTTGTAACAACAGCAAAAAAAAAAATAGCTGAGCTTTTGATTGCTTGCCAAAAATTTTAAAAACAGACATTTCCCATATGGTATGTGCAAAGAACTATTGGTTGGGATGGTAACTATTTGGTAGGGAGGATATATACAACCATAAACAAAACACAGATCCTGTTCTTAGTGGGTATGGTGTTCAAAAGATAATACATTGCATGTTCTTGAAACTATGACAGAAAAATATAAAGTAAACAATGTGAAGAAAACTATGTGAGGTAAAAGAGTTAGCTTATTTGAGCTGGTCTGGGAAAGGAAGTTATTGTTAATCATTCATTGTGTTATCTGGCTACTCAACATTTCACCTCTCATTCTCTCTATAGCCATACCTGTAGGCCCTCAACTCCTACATCTTGAAATCACTAAAATATTTAGCTCATTGCTCATTTGGTGTTGGGGATGCTGAAAGGTTTCCTGTCTTTTCAAGGAATGTGGGATAGTAGCGATTGTAAGTCCGTCATCACTGCTAGTGATTGACGTGATACATCAGTGGGTATATGCACCTGAAGAGGAAGAATCAGACCCTTATAAATTATATTTGGACAAAATCCTAGACTGTTAATAAGGTGTGCTTGTGTTAACACTTTGCCCTGTAGAGCAGGGGTAGAGACAAGTGCATTTTCTGCTCTGATCGTTTAGTAAGTTTTATGTTCTTTGTTTTTCCAGAGACAGAACCTTGCCTGTTTCCTCAGAAACCCACACTATGGCAGCCTTATTAATGCTGATGGTCATGGTGAAGTGTGGACAGACTGGAATAACATGTCCAAGTTTTTTCAGTACGGGTGGAGATGTAGCACTAATGAGAACTCATATTCGAACTGTACTTTGATAGGCAACTGGAACCAGGAAAGATACGACATAAAGAATATTGTAAAACCTAAGCCCCTGCCTTCCCAGGTAATACAGCGTTCCCTTCTTTTGTTACCTTCTGTTAGAAGAAATGCCAGTAGCCATGTGAGATTTGTGTCTAGCATCATGAGAGCTCATTCTTCAGCTGGACCACCTAGCCCACTTGAGTGTCAAGTTGAATACTACCCATAAATTATCAAATGATGAGTACATCTCTTTTTCTCTCCCTTCATTTGGATTTCACCTGTTAATCTACAGAAAGATAGTCTTCTGACTCAGGATATCTTCTCCTCTGGGCTTGTTATTTTCCTGAGCCTTGCCCTTTAGTCTCCTAAATAATGGATAAGAAAGTATGACAGACTGATCATAGATGAAGCTCTAGTCTACCTCAAATGACATACTAATTAAAGTCATGCTGCACTGTCCCTTACTTCTTGATGCTGGCTATAGACTACTAGGTTCTTTTTTTCTTTTTAAGACTTATTTAGTTTTTATTTGCATTGGTGTTTTGCCTGCATGTAGTTCCAGATCCCCTGGAACTGCAATTACAAATAGTTGTGAGCTGGGAATTGAGCCCAAGCCCTCTGGAAGAACAGCCATTGCTGTTAACCATGGAGTCATCTCTCCAGCCCCCAACTACTAGATTCTTTTGTTGTTGTTGTTGTTTTTCAAGACAGGGTTTCTCTGGGTAGTACTGACTGTCCAGGAACTAACTCTGTAGACCAGGCTGGCCACAAACTCATAGAGACCTGCCTGCCTCTTATCTCCACCCCCATCCCCAAGTCCTGGGATTAAATGTGTGGGTCACCACTGCCTATCTATATTCTTTTTTGTTTGTTTTTCGAGACAGGGTTTATCTGTGTAGCTCTTATAGACCAGGCTAGCCTTGAGCTCACAGAGATCTGCCTTCCTCTGCCTCCCTAATGCTGAGATTAAAGGCATGTGCCACCACTGCCATGGCCTATATTCTTAATCTATTACTTTTTCTTTCTAGTTTGGACACTACTTTGAATCAACATATGATACAAGCTACAACAGCAAAAAGCCACAATCATCCCATAGTAGGTGGACTCACATTATTAATCCTTAACTCTAAGCACCCACTTAGTTCCTAGCAGATGGAAGGAACTCAGAAGTAACATGCACATGTAAATAAGTGAACAATTTCTATTGTCTCAACTTTGACAGGACTAAGAAATAGAGCTCTGTTACTAAAATTCCTTGCTGACTGTGTACCTGTTTACCTTTCCTTCCCTTAGGATTTAAGCGAGAGGCTCATTGGTTCCCTGGCCATCAGCCTGAGCTGGATCCTCCTCACTTCAAATGCACAGAAAAGTCAACTGTTATGAATAGCTACTCAAAGCCTCAACCCAGTCACTACTCTTGGTGCGTGTGTGATCCAAACATGGAGCAAGCTTTGGGCCCCAGAATCTGAGAGAAGCAGCAGCAGCTTTTTTTCTGAAGCAGACTGTAGAAAGGAACACGATTTAAGCAGACTCAAACTTCACTCTCAACGTGGTTTCTGTCTAAATAAAGCACAAGGCACCAAAAAACAACAAAAAAATCTCTACTTCTGTTTAACTGTCCTGGTGAGTTTTTATCAATTGAACACAAACCTAGACGAACATGTCTGGGAAGAGGGGATTCTAATTGAGAAATTATCTCCTTACAATTGACCTGAGGCAAGCCTGTGGTGAGTGCATTTTCTTGATTAAAGATGGTTGTAGGAGTGCCTATCCCTCAGTGGGCAGTGGTACCACTGGGCTAGTGGTCCTAAATGCTGGAAGACAGCAGGATGAGCAAGCCAGTAAGCAGCATCCCTCCATGGCCTCTGCATCAGCTCCAACCTCCAGTTTTCTGTCTTGAATTCCTACCCTAACTTTCCTGGATGATGGACTTAAAAGGTGTAAATTGAAACAAATTCCTATCTTTTTAAAAAAAAGATTTATTTTATGTTTATTTGCTCTGTCTACATATACATCTTCTTACAAGAAGAGGGCATCAAATCCCATTATAGATGGTTGTGAGCTATTTTGTGGTTTCTGGGGATTGAACTCAGGACCTCTGGAAGAGCAGCCATCTCTCCAGCTCCTATGTGATCCTATCTTTAAAAAAAAGTGTGTCTTTCAGATATGTAAACAAGTCTGAAAAACGTGGCATAGCTTGTATGCTGCTATGTATATTCCTGAAGTAAGTCAGTCGTAGCATGCTCTTCCTGAGTAACCCCTGCTGAGGACTATGAAAAGAAGTACAACTTCCCTATTTTCACAGAGAATATTAAATGAATTGACTTATTTTGGAACACATCTCAGGAATACATTTTTATCTCAATTTCTTTGTATATCCAAAAAATAAGGGAGAGACAGCCAGTTGTTAACTCCTCCACCGAGAGCACCAAGGGAATCTGTTGGCCAAACACAGCTAAGTGTGCTGAACCTAGCAGATCAAGGGACAGCAACTTGACCAGGGATCTTAGTGGTTCAGAAAGATGCTGGGGTGAGGTACTGACATGGGGGAGGTCTGCAAAGCAGTGAGTGGGTAGGTTGGAAGAGAACTGAGTAGTTCAAGTTGGTAAATATGGAGGCTTTTCTTTATTGTAATATTTTGGCTTCTGGTTCAATCCCCTCACTCCAGTAATGTGTTATATAGATATCTGTTTCTTTGGGACTTCTTTGGGTAAATTATATGTATCTTTGGATTTCTCTGTTTCTGCATTTTTCAATATCTGGCAAGATGTCAGGAATAAGGGGCTCAACCTTCTTGATATTCAGGTGACAGCGTATATATCATTAAGGTGTCACCAAGTGGCCCTAGCCAGTCCCTACATTATACAACACAATCTAATAAAACAATTGTTATTTTAGGCCACTAATGGGGTAATTTAAAAGGTAGAAATGGAGAACCAGAGCAGAACTTTATACATAGATTTTTATCATGCAGACTTTGTTGAACTATTTTTCTGGAGTTTGCTTCTTTGTTTATTTTTGCAGATTGTGTCTTTGAAATGACAGCTCTGTCTCTAACTTTGCAACTTTTACATCTGTTTTAGTGTGACATTGGTCAGATTCTTGAGAGCAGAGACAAATATCAGGTGTGATCATGGCCCAGGTGTGATCATCTTGCTCAGGATATCAATAGGACTGTATTTAAATCCTTTTGGGCAGGCATAACATTTATTCTAGATTTTCACTGGTCCTGGCATTTATGAATATAAGGGAATTCCTTTTCTTTCTGTCAAGAATCTTTCTCATTCACTCACTTGACCTATCATGCCCTGAAACTGTATCTGTCAAAGTGGACATTTTGTCAAATCCAGAAGCTACTTCAGTGATTGTGTTAACTGACTTTTATACTCTGCAATTGGCCTCTTGCTGCAGATCACTGGGGTCTCCATTCTCCATGTCATTTTTAAGCTCCCTTCTCATTAAGCTATGAACTAGACTTCCATTGGCAAATCCGCCCTTTAGCTCATCCCTTCCTCCAGTGGCATCGCTGGTATTGCTGTTTTTAAGGCCACCTGTCTCATTCCTAGCCATCATTCCTGTGGTTTCGTGACAATGTGGCAAGCTGTTTCCTCCCGTTCCTCTGATTGCTTCTTGGGTTCCTTTCTCAGCTGACCTTTCTACGTGGATCCTTTAAGTTTCCCTTTCCAACAATTCTGTTGATTGTCCTGTTTCTATGCCTGTGCTAATCTCAGGTGATAACTACCAACTACCCTGCCTTTAATTAATACTATATATTTCCAGATTTCTTTATTTTAATTATATTTATTTTGTGGGTCAGAAGACAACTTGTGGGTCTCAGGGATGGAATTCAGGTCCTCATGTTTGGCAGCAAGCACCTTTTCTCCCTGAGCCATCTCACTGGCCCACTTCCAGATTCTCCATGTATGCTTCCATCCCAAATGTGTCTCAGAGCATAACATTTAAATGCTTACTGAATACTTTCATTTGAACTCCCAAAGACACTACATATCTGAACTATTCAGAATCCTATGTCTTGAAATTTTACCCATAATCTGTATCTTGGTTTATTTCATAGCTCTTTATATATCTTAATCAGTCTTTCTAATTTTTAATATTGTATATTACACAATAAGCTAGCCACATACTTGCCAAAAACACAAAGAGATTATTTTAGGTTTTCCTTTCTCATCCAGACAGATGCCATGCCCTGTTAATTTTATGTCCCTATGATCTGTAGTCATGTATTTTACATCTGTATTGTCTTTGTCACATTCCTAATTCTAGTTTGCCGAAATACCTTTCTGATGTCATTATTTTCCATTGGCTTTCTACTCTTCCATCATCACATTTCTATAGAGTGAATTTTAAAATACTAGATTCTTTATTCCACTCACTTGATTTAATTGCTTCATTGGCTTCTGCTGCCTTCCAAATAAATTCCAACACACACACACACACACACACACAGACACACAGACACACACACACACACACAGAGAGAGAGAGAGAGAGAGAGAGAGAGAGAGAGAGAGAGAGAGAGAGAGAGAGAGAGAGAGAGAGAGTAGAATTTCAGCCAGTAACTAGTAACTCTCTAAGATTCCTTCTACATTCAAAGTAGGCATCTGGGGCTGGATAGATGACTTAGCAATTAAGAGATGCTCTTCCCAGAATACCTGAGTTCAATTCCCAGTACTCACACAGCAGCTCACAACTGTCTGTAACTCCAGTTCCAGGGGAATCTGACGTCTTCACACCAATGCACATAAAATAAATTTGAAAAAATTCACACAACCAAGTTCTAATGACACTGAAAATGCAAAGCAGGCGTTCATCCCAGCCTCCCTGCTCCTCTCCTCTTTCTCTCTCTCTCTCTCTCTCTCTCTCTCTCTCTCTCTCTCTCTCTCTCTCTCTCTCTCTCTCTCTCTCTCACACACACACACACACACACACACACACACACCTCTCTTTCCTCTGCCTTTCTCAACTCTTAGTGTTTTGTTTTTATTTTTGCAATGTCAGGGGTGGGAACTAGGACATCACACCATCGCACATACTAAACAAGAACTCTACCACTGAGCTAGCCCCTCAACACTCTTTCATAGTTTAAAAATAGCTCCTAGAAGCGTTTCAAGTAGACCTCCTTATTGTCTCTTTTACCATAATTGGGTCACAGCCATTTCAAGTCAATCACTGCAGACAAAAGAAATTTCTTTGCTTTATTTGAACCACTTGTGGCTGAACTCGGTTTCTGCTACATTGTGCACATGACTTGGAAGGGTGCAATGAATACTGGAACAAATCTTGCCATTGGCTAGACCAAAAAGGAGTAATAGCATCTTCTTATGTAACCAATGTTAATTGCTGAACAGACACAGAAATTGACTTTAAAGAAAAGGGCTTTCTGAGTAGATTATGGTGTGTCAGATTATTAGGGAGTTGTGGGGTTTTTTGTTTGTTTGTTTTGAAAGGAGTAAACTAAACTCAAGGGCTTCACTTCTAATAATTTATAAATAGAAGGACTAGACCCTCACTTAGCCCCCTGCTTTAGTGGCCATGACAGGCTACAGAAAAGACATGTAGGCCTCTGACACAAGGAAATTCCAGATCCTCTGGCCTCTGGGAGTCTAGGGCCAAGACTGAACACAAAGAAACTCCAGACCTCCCCCCAGCCTCCCATATGCTTGGTTCCTGGGAACTGTTTGGCCACAAAAGAAACTCCAAGGGGGACCAAAACCTCCCCTGTAGTCTCCAGGATATTGTTCTTAAAACTACTGGTATCTATGTACAACAGGCCACCTGCAAGTAACAAGACAATGTCATAGAAACCACAGAATGTGGGCTGGAGAGATGGCTCAGAGGTTAAGAGCATGGACTGCTCTTTCAGAGGTCCTGAGTTCAATTCCCAGCAACCACATGGTGGCTCACAACCATCTATGATAAGATCTCGTGTCCTCTTCTGGCGTGCAGGCATACATGGAGGCAGGATGTTGTATTCATAATAAATTAAATCTTAAAAAAAAAAGAAACCACAGAATGTTCCCTCTCAGCACTCACCAATGAGAACAATTGGTACACAGGTATTTCATGCCAAAATATGACTTTGAGAAATGTTCCTAATTGTCCCCAAAAGTCAACCAATCAGAAACCAACCCATGCCTACTGATGTAATCCTGTAATTTTTATCTACAAAACCTAACAGTAGGACGGGCGGTGGTGGCGCACGCCTTTATTCCCAGCACTCGGGAGGCAGAGACAGGCAGATCTCTGTGAGTTCAAGGCCAGGCTGAACCGACAGCCTCCAAAACAATACAGAGAAACCCTGTCTCGTAAAACAAAAAAAAAAAAAAAAAAAAAAAAAAAACCCTAACAGTAGACAGGGAACTTCACTCCCTCTGGAGGCTGCTGCAACAGCTAGCCAGATGGGGTCCCTGTCATGGGTGGGTGAACAATCATTAAACCTTGCTTTTCCAGTTTGGTGGGTCTGCCTTCCTGGTGGTCTCTGGGGACTTTGCAACTTGGGCACAACAATTTGTTTGTTTGTCTGTTTAGTTTTGTTTAAGGAAACCTGGCTAGGTGGTGGTTCACACCTTTAATCCCAGCACTTGGGAGACAGAGGCAGGCATATCTCTGAGTTGTAGGCCTGCCTGGTCTACAAAGCAAGTTCCAAGATAGCTAGTGCTACACAGAAAAACCCTGTCTTGAAAAAGCCAAGAAAGGGGGGGGGTAAGGGTAGAGGTTGAATATTTTACACTACACTTAAGAGGCTTGTTTGATGATTCCCACCCATGTCCTATTTCCTGTCCTGTGAATTAGCTGACAGCCCTTGTCAAGTCACACTAAGGGCACCATGTCTCTGGCGAGGTAATTAATTTCAGAGATGCACTGGAGACTTTTATTTGGGTTAGCCAGAGCTCTTCTCTCTAGAGTATTCCTTGGACTTTGCTGGGGCATCACCTGTTTGTTTTTTTCTTTTTCTTTTTTCTTCTCTTTAATCTATTCCTCACAACCTGTCCTAACAGTACAGCATGTTATAGACAGAAGACCAGAAGACCAGGGAAAATGAATGACTCTCCTGTGTTTACACCAGTAGGAAGTGCTGCCAGTCATTCTGACCCAAAAGTCCTTGGAGTTCCCTGAATCACAGTACAAGAATTAGATCCGTTATGCTTGTAGTTATTCAAAGCACCCTGAATACATAAGCACGAGACAAATCTATTGCTGAATGATATTTTATTAGCTTAATAATCTGGGCCGGCCCTTAGCATTAATAAGCTTCAGCACTAGTCACAGATTTTCCTTCACTGATGGGAAACTTTCTTGTTTTAAAAAATGCAATGAGAGAAAGGGAGTCTACTTCTTAGGGGCTGCAGTGACAGCAGGCTTCTCTTCACGGGTGATGGGAATGGTACGCTCGGGGCCAGAGGCCTGTTTCCTTGGTCCATTCACAGTGAGGACGCCGTCAGATGACAGGGATGAAGTAATGGTCAGAGGATCCACATCAGCTGGGATCCGGTACTTCCTATGGAACTCCCTAGAGATGAAGCCGTGTTCGTCCTAATCCAAGAGAATGAAGAAAGAAACAGAGAAGTAAGAACAGGGAAGCCACCACTTTCCCCAAACTCAGACATCCCTTTCCCTTAGGTTAGACCGAATTGCCCTGACATCATAAGAGAAAAAGAAATGCCTGGAGCTGGGAATATAGTCTAGTGTTGAAAGGTCCTGAGCTTCATCTCCAACACTGCAACAAATATACAGATAGCTAAGTCAAGAGACATTCACCTAGTTTCAAAGCTGGAACAAAACTGCCAGGGGTCCTACCCACAAAAGAATGAATCTGTGTTGGTTGGACTTTAGCACTGAGGAGCTATGTCCTTGAGGAAGTCCATAAATTGTCCCAATTCCCCAAGGATGTCTCAGGATGTTCCTAACCCACAGAATTGCTGTGGTCCGGTTTTAAATCATATGAGCAAAACTGAAACCGTTTGAGGACATTAAGATACACTAATTATGAACAGGTTCTGAGTTATTAATTTTTTTGTTTTGTTTTTTGAGATAGGTAGGGTTTCTCTGTGTAGTTGTCCTGAAACTTGCTCTGTAGACCAGGCTGGCTTCGAACTCAGAGATCCACCTAATTCTGCTTCCTGAGTCCTGCACCACCATGCTTGGATGAGTTATTAATTTTTAAGAAGCAATCATAACACCTTTTCAAGAAGTCAAGAAAAATTGCCAAAAGTGCAAGAGGAATTGTTGACCCTAAACCTTAGACCTACTGAATTCCAGGTATCCATCTAACCCTCAATTAACTAACTTCCTTACAGCCATAAGCCTGAAGCTCTGAAATGTGGACAAACCAAGTAGCTTAGCATTAAAATGAGCAGAAGATACATGGAATCCTGAACAACAAAAAGTCACAGACCTAACTGCCTTCAACCCTGTAGTTAATGTCATTATGCACAACAACCATTATGTACAACACATAATCAGTGTTGCCTGTTTTGATTACAGACTGAAGTTATCCAAGGAGACATTTTAAAATGTTGATGCCTGAGTTATATCTCCAAAACTTCATATTTAACTGGCCTAGGGTGTGCCTGAGTGTTGGGAATTTTGCAGATTCTCTTGATATTTTGATGTCACCGGACACCAACAAGGCAATCAAAATAAACATCAAGGGGCACTTCTCTCAGCAAAACCATAACAGTAACAACAGATTTATCCCTAACTTAGCTTCCTAGCAGCTCCTGCTCTAACCCTTTATGTTTGGGGCCTGGAGTTCCGCCAGCTTCAGAGACTGTGGCAGTGCCTGGCATCCAGTGTGCACTGAATGAAACTCCCAAAAGAAGCAGCGGTCCACACACCTGGCGCTCTTCGTGCTTGCCATGCACTTCAACCACGTCCCCCAGCACCTTGACTTTCAGCTCTTCCGGGGAGAAGTGCTTCACATCCAGGTTGACGGAGAATCTGTCCTTCTCCATCCGCATCTGGGATAACAAGGGGGAGAAGGGAGGTGAAAAGATTGGCCGAATGTTTGTTAAATTGGAGAAGACTCATTGTTCTGTCTGTAGATTTAGTTCCTGTCCAGGTAATTCACCCTCCTCTTTTGCTACTAAAAATAGTCCCTTGTTGCATGACTCTGGAGCATGTGAGCTACCATATACCAGCAATATACCAGGCACAGGGAAGAAGATAGGTCCCTAGGGGACCACAAGGATGGGTCTAGGCTTCTGCGGCCTCTCTACCCAATGCTGGCTTTGTCATTTGTCTGTAAGACAAAGGCCTCTTTTTTGTTTGTTTGTTTTTTGGGTTTTTTTTTTTTTTTTTTTTTTTTGCTCAGCTCCCTGCCAAGTTTCCTACCCACTCAATCTGGAATGTTCTGCTGGTCCTGTCCTTCCAAAGCCCTTGCCCACTCAGCTCCTGTTTCCTCACACCGGAATATTTTTAAACTACAGTGTTATCTGTGACAGCTTCTGTTAATCTTATCAGTTCAACCCTTCTCCCACCCTGTTACAACAAGCTGGGGCTTCCCAGGAGTGGACATATATCCATTCCTCATAAGGCATGGACCGAGGAACCCAGAAAACCAGGGACAAGGGAAGAGAGAGACAGAATGTAGTGATTTATGTCTCCAGCTTCATCCAGGGAGCATGCAAAGTTCAGAATGAGTGGGTTTCTCTCTGATCTCTACACCTGGATGTGATAAAGTCCGCCAGGACCATGGTGATTAGGGAGGCAAGTAAAGGAGCTGAAGCAGCTCTTAATGCAAAAACTCTCTATGAATAAAATCAGAAAGGGACATCCTGCTTCATCATTAGGGGACAGAAGATGGCCTTTACCATGCACAGGAAAAAATGTAATAGGAAATAGAGGAACATCCAACAGGATGGCCAAGGAGAAGGAAACGGTAACCTCATTTCTCTGTGTACACTCACGTGCCTGAAATGACCTAGGCAGGGACAAAAGAGAAAACGAAGAAGTGTCCCGGAAGTTCCAGGAAGGGCATAGAGGAGACTCACCTCTGAGAGTCCAGTGTCAATCCAGCTGGGTGCCCGAAGGAAGGAAGGTGGCCGCAGGTAGAAGGGACTCAGAGAAGTGGCAGTTGAGAAGAGGTCAGACTCCAACAGGTGCTCTCCGAAGAACTGGTCAAAGAGGCGGCTGGGGGAGTGGAAAGGGAAAAAGGGACGGCGGATCCAGGGGTGGTGGATGGCGATGTCCATGGTGGCTAGGTGAATGTAGGGTCAGTTGGCCGGTCAACTCCTTCAGCTGCAGCTACAGCCAGCCCCTTATATATGCAGTCTTGTGAAGCTTCTGGAATGGTGATGTCAGGGGTTTTATTATCCCAGCTCACCGCCAGTTCATGGAGACTTGTGATCAGGGATTTGGCAGGGTGACACATACCCAGTACTCACTGAGCTAAGAAAAGAGAAACACAAACAGGGCTGAGCTGGCCAGTGACTTGTCATGGTCTTGTTTCACTAGCTCTCTGTCCACACCCAGCAGCACCCACCCCCATCCTTGTTCTCTGGAGCTAGGACAGAGTCAAGAATCCCAAGCAGCTGGTGGCGTGCCCCTCCTCCTCTCCAGTCTTGCATGCCAGGGGAGTTGAGCCAGCAACTATCTTGAGCCTGGGCAGCGACTGGAATCTTCCTAGGCTGGGCCCCAGGGACATTAACTCTTTGTGGTGCCCTTGAGGAGAGCAGTGACCACCAATATGTCAGTACCAGGTATCTGACTGGAACCCTGAGTTGACCTGGGTTCAGAATACCCTGAAATTAAAGAAACAGAAAATGCTTCTTGCATCTTTGATGTTATGTATCTCATGGAACATTTTATTTTCTTTTTTCTTTTTCTTTTTTCTTTTTTGTAAGTAGTGTGCAAGGTGCCTACGGTTGAGACGGACAAACAGTGATGTGGAAATGTACCATTTGAGAAGACTACGGTGATGTGGAAATGTACCATTTGAGAAGGCCTCCCTTTGTTCTCCTACAGTGCACCAATTCTTTTTCTCAACTCACTCCAAGATCAGGACTCTCAGCTGTCCTCCCAGGCTTCTGCGACAGCTGAGGAGTGTGCAGAGGAGGGGACTTGGGGGTCCAGGCTGTGCTGGTCACACCCTCATCGCAGCACTCTTGGGCCCAGGCTCCAGGCCCTCCCCCAGAGGCTTTGCACTATTTTGGGTGGTGTAGACCCCGCCCCCACTCTGACTGAGTCCTGGCTCTCCCTCCAGCTGAAGGGGTCGCGCGTTGATCTTGTTGGGGCTCCGCTTGGGATCAGGGCTGCCAGTCGCAACCAGAGTCATGTCGGGCCGCACAGTGCCACATGCCCACCCAGCCACTGCTGAGTATGAATTTGCCAACCCCAGCCGCCTGGGTGAGCAGCGCTTCGGAGAAGGTATGGCCTAGATGCTGCCCACCCCCACCTCCTGAAATTCTGGGCTCACGGCCCAGTTTTACTGGCCTCCTCCCCACCTGGGGCTTAAGTGAACTCCTGGGGTGAGCCATCTCCCACCCCAGACTCCCGCCTCAAGCAAGGCTCTGCTCTTGCTACAGACTTTAAGACAGGACTTTAGACCTGCAGGGCTTCGGGCCTTGCCTGCTGAGTACCTTCTAGCTTCGCTTCTGTCCTCTCAATCCCTGCTTGCTTCCCCCATTGCCATCTCATTTCCTTTCCCAGCCCCCGTTCAGCAGCTTCCCCACCTGCTCTTCCCAGGCCCATGTCTCCTGATGTTGCCTTTCAGTCCTGTGCACACTGTATTCCTCCCTCATCCTGCCTCTTCTCTCTCTGTGTCCTCCCAGGCCTCCTACCAGAAGAGATCCTGACTCCCACCCTCTACCATGGCTACTATGTCCGGCCTCGGGCCTCCAGAGCTGGGGAGGGCAGTAGGGCAGGGGCCTCAGAGCTCAGGCTCAGCGAGGGCAAGTTCCAGGCATTTCTGGATGTGAGCCACTTTACCCCAGACGAGGTGACCGTGAGAACTGTGGACAACTTGCTGGAGGTGTCAGCCCGGCACCCCCAGCGTCTGGACCGCCATGGCTTCGTGTCCCGAGAGTTCTGTCGCACCTATGTCCTGCCAGCAGATGTAGACCCCTGGCGGGTCCGAGCTGCCCTCTCCCATGATGGTATCCTTAACTTGGAGGCGCCTCGGGGTGGCCGGCATTTGGACACGGAAGTCAATGAGGTCTACATCTCCCTGCTCCCTGCGCCTCCTGACCCAGAGGAAGAGGAAGAGGTAGCCAGAGTTGAGTCCTGACTGCCCGCGGTAGACCCAGCACCCAGTGAATCTCCTGTCTACATCCCACGGTGATTCCAGAAGTCCGCCACCCCAGAGGTAGCAGCGTCCTCGAGGGGGACAGGATAGATGCATGGTCCACAGTGTATGGTTTGGTCCCTTGATGTATCATAGCCTTTGATTTAGTTCTGGGTGGAGCTGAATAAACCCAATTCTTGGGGCCTTGTTTGTGCTGCTGCTCCTGCTCTGTGGCCTGGAAGACCGAACCGCGAACAGGCTGGAAGGTCACAGGGAGCAATTTCCACTGTGAAATGTGCCCATCGGCTCAGCATCCTAAGTTCACACTTGGATGCTGAGATCACCCCCGGAAGCTGACCCTGGCTCCAGATCAAATTCCTAGCCATAATTTTCTCACAATGCAACAAAAGAGAGAGTGATCCTGGGAGGGATAGGGATGTGCCATCCAAACAGCCCAGAGGGCACTGTCTGAGCTGGCGATTAGAGACACAAAAACAAGGGTCTCCAGGCTGTCTGGCCTTTTTGGGTAGGGGTTAGGATAATGGTTTTTGGCTGGAGAGAGTTGCCTAAAGCTCTGGAGTGAATGTTTTGCTTTCCCATATCAATGGCTTGCACTGAAAGGTCTCTGGTTGAGGGAAGAAGTGTGCATACATGGGCAGACAGACACGTCAATCCACCATTATCACTGAGCCCACAACCTTCTCCTCTTGAATACAGGGAACCACAGAACACTGTACCTAATCTAAGATTCAATGCAGTTTCTACTGTCATATTGTAAAGGCAGTGGTCAAGAAAGACTAAGGTGATTTTAATGCTACAGAGTACAGTGTGTCCAGGAAAGTCAGCAGGTGGGGGGAGGCTGTGGTCGTACTTACTCCTTACAATCAAGACAACGTGTGTGTGTGTGTGTGTGTGTGTGTGTGTGTGTGTGATTTGAGGGGAGTCCAAAAGAATTCCTTTCATGTATGTATGTATGTATGCATGTATGTATGTATATTCCAGGTTATGGTGGATATCTGAAATTCTTTCATTAATGTGGTTTCTTAACTCTTGGGGGTTAAAAATCTGAAACCTGACAAAAGCTATCAATCCTCTTACCAGAAAAATACACACACTTGCAAATTTGTCAGCACAGCTTTTGAGATCCATTCATACCCCTATTAGAGATGTGCGGATCTCTGCAGTAAGAGCTCGTCTTCAAATAATTTGATTATTGGCTTAAAAGTCGTTTTCTTTTCAAAACCACGGCAAGACCCGAGTGTAGCTCAGTGCCAGGCACAAGTCTGTGAGGTAGGTCCCCAGCACGCTAAAATGAACAAATACAATAAAAGCATGCCTCAGAGAAACAACATTGGTTATATCCACCTCTTCAGTTAGTAGTTCAGTAAATATTTATCAAGTAATATAAAAGTCAAGCAATAAAGTATGGGAGACAAGCATTGCAAATGTAAGCAAGAAATGGGAATCTTTGATTAGCTACCCTCAGTAAATGTAACATTTGGGTGAGAAGAAATTTAAAAGGCTGAGCAGAAGCCTGAAGAGAACAATTTCTCTGATAAATCGAAGGGAACAGTTCACTTTACAGCAGTGGTCAGAAAACTACCACCTGCAACCCAAGGTTTTGTGTGTGTGTGTGTGTGTGTGTGTGTGTGTGTGTGTATGCACACGTGCATGTGTGTGCGTTTTATATTTTTAAAGGGTATAAAAGAGAGACTATATACATGGCCAGTAAAACTAGAGTATATTTACTCTCTAGCCTTTCTTTTGAGGGAAGTTTTTTTTTGACTCATTCTTGTATCATCAGCTTTGAGATTAATAAGATTTATCTTATGAAAAAGTTTTAAAAATGGTTAAGGAAAGGGGGATATGTTATCTCTTTAGTCCTATAACTGTGACACAGCAAGAATAGCCACCATTTATAAGTACAGATAAAAGCTTTAAGTGAAAAAAAGAAAGCAAATGAAAGTTGGATGTAATGACACATACCTGTGAGCCCAGCTCTTGAGAAGCAGAGGCAGGAAGATTAGGAATCCAAGGTCAGACCTCAGTTATATCATGAGCTTAAGGCTTGTCTAGACTTAATGAGACACTGTCTAAAAATAATAATAAAATAAATATTTTCAAATTCTCCCCTCAGATTTCAACCTGAATAACTTCATAATTTCTTTTATGGTTGAACTTAGTTGGCCTACTTACTTGCTTGGGAGAATCCAGACCTCACGTTCATTAAGATCACAATTTACCTACCACTCATCCCTGAGCTTTGTCCAAGTCAAAAAAAGATTTTCAACAAGGAAACATTTGAAATTACCTAATTTAGTCTAAACCTCCACTTCACTGAAGTTCTTTTAAAGTAGTTGGCAGTAATGGTACACAACTTTGATTGCAGCACTCAGGAGGCAGAGGCAAGTGGATCTCTGTGAGTTCAAGGCCAGCCTAGTTTACAGCAAGTTACAGGACAGTCAGGGCTACACAGAGAAACTCAGAAAACAAACAAAAAAGCAACAAAAATTATTGTTAAATTTTAACAAAAAATTATTAAAAATTATTTTAAAAATTATTAACCAACTTCTGTAACATTTTTAATTGCAGAGACTTCAAACTTCACAAAAAGCCCACTCAATTTTTCTTTTTGGACATATATACATATTTACAAACATACATTTACATATTTATTTAGAAAACATACATTTATATATTTACATATGTACTTACACATACATATATTTACAAACATACATTTATATTTTTATATATGTAAATACTTATATATACATACACACACACACACACACACACACACACACACCCTCAGTAGGACCTTGTATATGCTAGACAAGTACTCTATCATTGACCTGGTTTTTACCTTTTATTTTAGGACAGGGTCCAACTAGGCATCCCAGATGGGATTTGAATTCACTATGTATCCCAGACTGGCCTATTCTCCTGCCTCAGACTCCAGAGTATCTGGGATTACAGACTGACCAGAATCTTTAAAAAGGTTGGGTCCCAGAGCTCTATCTAGGTATGTCGAGGGAACGAAGGACAGATGCACAGACAGGCAATGGAGCTAGAATCAGGCTCTCTATCACCTCATCATGTTTATTAGATGCAGCACAGAGGGGAGGCTAGCAAGGCTTGGTTGGATGGAGGTTTCTGTGTTGGGCTGCAAACTTTGGGGAGGAGACCAAAGTTGCTAGTCTTTGTACACACTAATTGTTCATTAACATCCATACTCAAAAGACTGAGCCCATATCAAAATACATATTCACTCAGGACTTCAGTCACACAGGGCTTCCTACATGCTGGCACAGCCAGGGCTGGCTAATTTCTTCTAAAACACCCCACTCCCCTCCCCCCATACACACACACTGAAATTGTGCCTTGTCCTTTCAGCACCTACTGTACAACATCTTACACACACAACTTTCTTTTGTAACACACTGACAATAGAATTCGAAAGTTGATGAGAAGCCTACAATTATTCCAGACATGGACTGACAGGGCCAGATTTCAATAGAATACTCATTTGTCTATATGATCACTCTACACTTGTATTAATCTGCTTAAGGCATATCCCAAGTGCTGTTTGTCTTTTCTGGCTCTCTAAAAGTCTCCTGGATAAATTCCTGTAAGTTACCGAAGAGGTGACTGGCAATAGAGCAGATTATGAAGGGCTTTGAGAAGTCTATGCCGTAAGCAACAGGAAATTATCGCTGACTTTTGAGCCACAGAAGGCAAGCAGGTTACAGGATGAAAAGAATATAGTTAATAGCAGAATAAAGAATGGTCTGTAGGAGAGAAGCATGTGCAGGATTGGAACACGAGATAGTAAAATAGAATGCCTTACCATCTGATAATTGACTGAGAACAAGAAGTGATAATAGTAAGAATAGTTAAGACTTACTAAAGGAGTTCCGTGTGCCAGGCCCTGGACTAACACTTTATATACATATCTCATTCAAGAATCACAGTTCTCAACAATACAGAGAAACACCCTGTCTCGTAAAAACCAAAAAAAAATAAAAAATAAAAAATAAAAGAATCACAGTTCTCCACGGCAGTCACTATCATCCTCATTTTTCCTAAGATGGGGAGGAGTTCAGGATCCACCATACTCTGTGGAGTGCAGGGCTGATTATGGACATCCCAGGACAAAACTAAAGATGCCAAGAAAACACTGAAGATTGGAATTGTGGGTTCCAAAGATTCTCTTGGAGTTATATACATCCCAAACTCACACACTTTTTGTTGTTGATGTTGTTGTCGTTTGTTTGAGACAGGTTCTCTCTTATGATTCCTGGCTGTCCTGGAACTTGCCCTATGGATCAGGCGGAAGCCCCATACTCAGAGACTGATTCTCATCTCCCTATCTCCCAAGTGCTGGGATTAAATGCATACACTACCATAACCAACCTGGAAACATGTTTTCTAAGGGGAATTCACTCGGTTGCATCATAGCTGCTGGCCAGTGAGGAACAGGTCCAAATTTGGGTCATTGGAAGCAGAAGCTGCAAACAGGGTAGGTGGAGATTTTGTAGTCCTGAGCTCGGAAGAGGACAGTGAGTGCTCCATCCCAACCACAGAGCCATCTGGTTTATACCAGAAAGAGGATTAGGTAATACATTCAGTGCTTACGCTTCACTGTGCAATCTAGATGATAAAAAGTTAGGAGATTTAACCACGTTAATTTTAATAGTGAGCGTGTGAGAGCATTCCATTCCCCTACTTTTCAGGTTCCAAAAGCCTCTAGGATTCAACCCCATATTGTGGACATATGAAACTGGTACCAATTATCTTGACAGTAACACTCAAACCTAAGTGTGGTAGGGCAGACATGAGGGAGGATCCTTTGTTCCGTTATAAAGGATATATTTCAAAGGCGGTGAGATACATTGAGAAACATTTCCTGTGGAAACTCAGAGGTCTTTTGTATCTCAGGTTTCTTTTTAAAACGAAGCTTGCAGCTCGAAGTTTATGGCCTCACCAAAAGAAGCTTCAAATCCCAAAGGTGAGATAACTCTCACCTGAAGCCCGTGTGTCTTTCTACCCTCTGGCTGGGAACAATCACCTGAGAATGATTCCACCAGGTGGCTTCCAAGGTCCAACCTACTTGGTTGAAATCTGACACTGACAGCGACTCCCTGGGAGCTGCTGCGGTTCGCTCAACAGGGAACCAGGAAATGCGCAAACCTCTTTATGTCTGAAAACCAGCTGGGCTCCCTGGGAGACACATCCGCCATGGGAAACAGGCTGTGCTGTGGGGGAAGCTGGTGAGTAGGGCCGAAAGGTGGAGGGGACCTTCTGCGGTGGTGGATATGAAACCCTGAGAATCAGAGAGACCCCGGAGAGATGGCGCCTTCCTCCATCTGCCACGTCCTGGGTCGAATACCAGAGCAGTAGTACCCTAGGACGTCTTAAAAACACAGCAAGATGTAGAGTGTAGAGTTAGCTGGACTGGTGAACCAGCCTTCTTTCTCTGTGCTCTCCTTTCCTTTTCCTGATCTCCTTTTCTTTCTTCCCCAGACCGTAATAATTGGAGCGTTTGACTGTTCCTTACGTGCAGTCACTTATAATCTCGTTCAACTGTCCCAACCCTTCTGTAAGTGGTCTTAACCGTTGCTCCCATCTTATAGACAATCAAGCAAAGGCTCAGGGAAGTTAACTAATGTTTGTCACATGGCTAGTAACTTAGCAGGTAAAACAAGATTCCAAGCCAGGCTGCTAGACTTCAGAACCCATACTTTCCTTACTAGGTAATCATAGAGGTGATCATGGATTGAGCAACAGGATTTGGACAAATGTTTGTTTGAAATGACAGAAGTGGGAAGGATAGTGTCCATGGGAAATGTGAATATAACTTTTATGCTATTCCCTGTGTGGCCTCAGGCAGTCCAGTAATTTCTCTGGACCCTCGCTTTTGTAAAATACACAGTCCCTATTGTTTGCAGCATAGGTTTGCTTTGGAGAGCAAAAGCTAGTAAAAACAAGCAAAACCCCAAAGTAACATTAAAAAAAAACACTTGGTAATAGATTATTTGTGGTTTTATAACTTTCCCCCTGAGTGTTTGCCACTACTACAAATTCCTAAATATGGCTTTATCCTGTCAGCTGCCTCCTGGCTATATCATTTTGTGTCTGGGGCAGAGTTCAGAGATTACTTATTTACACAGGAGCATCACATGGAGAGAGAAAAGTGAAGTACATTGGAAAGCACCTAAAATGTGAAGACAATCCTGAACTCGAGTTCTGGGCCTGATAGTTCATTTATCTATTTGGTTATTAAACAAATATTTACTGAGCATGTGCTATGTACCAGGAAGTGACAGATGCAGAAGGTAGCAATAAAAAGAAATTTGGCTAAGCAAGGTGGTACACGCCTTTGATTCCAGTGGTTGAGAGGCAGAGACAGGCTTTTCTAGGGTAATCAAGGCTACATGGTGAGATCCTGTATCAAAAAAATAAAAATAAAAATAGTAGCTGGGCGTTGGTGACGCACGCCTTTAATCCCAGCACTTGGGAGGCAGAGGCAGGCGGATCTCTGTGAGTTCGAGGCCAGCCTGGTCTACAAGAGCTAGTTCCAGGACAGCCTACAAAAGCCTCGGAGAAACCCTGCCTCGAAAATAATAAATAAATAAATAAATAAAAATAAACAAATAAGGAGGTCTTTGCCTATACCTGCCTATATTTGTTTACATATGTATTTACTTTTTTGTTTTACTTTTGAGACAAGTTCTCTATGTGTGGTCTTGGAACTCACTCTGTAGACCAGGCTGGACTCAAACTCACAGAGATCCGCCTGCATCTGCCTCCCCAGTGCTGGGATTAAAGGCATGTACCACCATACCTGGCCCTTATTTACTTTTGGTTATTGGTTTTTTGAGACAGTTTCTCTGTGTAACTCTGGCTGTCCTGAAACATGCTCTGTAGACCAGGCTGGCCTCGAACTCAGAGACCTCAAACTCTGCTTCCCAAGTGCTAGGGTTAAAGGCGTGCGACACCACCCCCCTGCTCAGTTTGCCATTTTCTATATTTACAGTTTATTTAGTTACTCATCAATATTAATGATTTAATATGTTTCCTTTTTTGAAATAGTAGTATCACAATAAGTATCCATATGTACTTGTGTATGGAAGTGTATTGGTATATGAGATTGCTACAGTATATGCATTTATGTTTAAAGATCTTTATCCTTATTGTCAATTGCATTCTGAAAGGATTGTTCAATTTTTATTCTTATGACCATTGTGGAAGATGGCCCATTTAAATTCTTTAAGTCTAACCTAAAACTAATTCCATCACCTATGACTTCCAGGTTGTGTCTGGGTTCTATGCAGCATCCAACTTGGGAAAAGGCTCTTTTCATCAAAACTGGATGGTTCTGCTCATGTATTCTCTAATATTCTCTGTGTCTACTTAAATAGAAACAAGTAGGGAAACAGGAGTCACAAGAGGCAAATCTTTGTTTCCTACCATATGGCTCTGACAAGGCAGTCTTAGTACAAAGCACGAATTGAAGAAGCAGAGGAAGAAATAGCAGAAGACAGAAGCTGACTTTCTGCCAAACTACCCTTAGTGGTTTAGCTAAAGACCAACTCCCTGCTTCTAAGGAAGTTGCTTCAAAACTGAAAATCACTCCAAAACAGAGTTTGGGAAACTTGTGTGGAAAAATCCTGTCTCCCCCACCCCTACAAGAATTCAGTCAACAGGATTTAGATATCTGCATGCCTCTCTCTTCTTTTCTTTCTCTTTCTTTAATTTCCAAGAGAAAGAAACTTCCTGAGGAGAAGCAAAATCAGACAGACAGGGCGCTGGTGAGATTTGGAAATATACTAACAAGAATAGGCTCCTAGAATAAGCCTGAAACTATTCACCCTGTTTCCCTGGACATCAATCATCCAAAGTCACGTAGACGTGCAGGCTCCATAGAGACCCCAGAAGCATGATTGCTGAGTCACTCCCCAAATTCAGTGTTCCCAGTTCTGTAGATGAGTGCTCCAAAGGGCATTAAAGGTTAGGCAAAGCATTTCTCACTTCTGTTAACTAAAAACAAGGACAGGGCAGCAAGTAGGGTAGCCACTTACTGGAATAGAGCTTTGCAGGGCCTTGACTAGGTAGCCCTGGTTATCACAGCTCCTATGACTCATAGAACTCCCAGGTTGCCAAAGATCCTCCAAACCCCCACCCCCAAAAAATAGCACGGAAGATTCAGTCTCTTGAACCAGGAATATATTCCATAACTTGGCAGATTTCCCTTAGCCTCTACTGAGATTAGCTTGATAGAAAATCCCAGAATAGCCTTCAAACCAGCACCATCTCTGGCATGTACTGCCTGGTTGCCTAAACCTGTATTTTGGGTTTGGTTATGTCAGTTTTACCACCCTACTTTCCAGAACCATCTATATGGGAGAGGTTTGTATCCTTTACAAGTACTTTCACGCTGAGCCTGGCACAGAGTGAATCTTTGGGGTGGGGGGGCGGATGTCATCCAAGAATGTGAAGGAGAGACCACAGAGCAACTGTATGGAGAGAACATACAGAAAGAACTCTTGTACATGGATGATCTGTTTTTCTACATAGGAGCTGCCCATCAACTTTCCAGAAGAAAAACAAAACAGGTAATAGGGGAGAGGGCTTTGAGAGAAAGGGAAATTGGAAAAGACAGTAAAACCAACATCCTTGGAGAAGGTGTAGAAAAGAGACGGGACATTGGATAAGACAAAGGGAGGTGATATAACAAAAAGAATCTTTAGTTTCTTGGACCCAAGGCTAGCTCTGAACCTATGGATCTTACTTTTCCCATTACTTCAGAGTGTTGTCATTTGCTTATGCAACTGAGCACTTGTATTATAGGTGAGCCATTCTGTGGGTTCCCAATGAGGAAGAGAAGCCCAGGGGAAGGTTCCAAGGTCTCAGGTCTAGAAAAGCTGAAAACCAACTGTGTGAGGCAGATTCATGTAAATACATAATTATAATATCATCTACCGGTGCTATAACAGAATACAGAGAAAACACTGATGCCATGGGAATAATACCAAGTTTACAAATCAGTAGAAGGGGGTGCCAGCAGAGGCAGAGGAGTTAGTTCATGCAAATGCTTGGCGGGGAATAAATGGCTTGAATGAAAGTGGCCTAATGGTGTAGCTGAGCACGTACTACATTTTCGTAGTGGTCTGTTGACTCAAATGTCTTCCCAGGCACACTGTAGATTTCTCAAGGCAGAGGAAATAGCTTACTCATCCTTATCTCCCCAGACCATGGCCTCGCACAGTATGCGCTCTGACTGGTGAGCAAGGAGATGGAAGATAGCATAGCCAGGTAGAGAATGGGAAAGTGTCTGGGTGTAGATTAGTAGAAGTGACAGAAATAGGAATGCAGCCAGAGAGATACGTTAGAAGCTCACTCCAATAGTCTAATGGACATTTGAAAAGGGCAGTCTCAGCAGAGACAGAGAGAATGAGTTTAAGTTAGTTGGCTTTCTTCCCCCACAGGGAGCCAAGCACGGCCCACATTGAGCATATTGAAACAGCAACAGCAACAGCTACAGCAGAATGGTACAAAGGTAATGACAGGCTTCTGTCCCCTCTCAGGCCCACTCAGATGTGGGATCCCACTACTCAGCTTTTTCACCCTGAGACAGATTCATCTCAACCATCGAAGTCTGGGGAGATGGTTCATCAGGTAAAGAAGTTATGTGCATGCAAGCCTGGCTATCTGAGTTCGGATCTCCAGAACCGGCATTTAAAAAAAAGCCAGAGGCAGCAGTAGAAGTTTCTATAACCCCAGCGCATCCCTACTGGGAGATGGGAAACAGACAGGGCAATATCTCAGGCAGCAGTGACCAAGAAAGACCCTGTCACAAACAAGATAGAATACAGGGACCCTCTCCCGGGGCTGTCTTATGTCCTCTGTCCTCTGTCCTACACACACACACACACACACACACACACACACACACACACACACACACACACACAGAGAGGGGAACTCATGTTGTGTTACCTGACCTCCCAAAGAAGCAAAGTAAAGGAACCTCAGTCTAACTGGTCCTGAATGGGAGGTGAGGGGTAAACCAAATCAAGAGCCTCTCTTAATTCTATGGATTTCTACCAGGATTGGGAAACAACAGGACCAATGTATGAGCAAGTGTTACCCCGGCCTGTATATCAAAAGAGAAGTTCTGACTCCACATCCGAGGAGAGCCATTTGCATTATGCGGACATTCATGTGCTCAGCCAAATGCAGCCACACTCTGGCAAGGTGAATCGCCTCCGTCTAGAAAATGCTACAGAGTATGCTGTCCTTCGCTTCCCCAAGGCCACACCTCGATATGACAGCAACAATGGAACCTTGGTGTGAGCCCTTGGAAGGAAGTGCTGGTTTCCACAATTTTACCGTTCTGTGGGGACAATCTACTGTTTCTGGGAATCTTAAAGAACAGCAGAACATCTGGAATTCTGGGTGCCCCTCTCTCTGCACTGTGAATCTTTTGGTTTGCCACTGTTAATGTGGAGTTGTGGTAAGGTTATAGGTGAGCTGAGTTCCAAACAAATATTTAAGTGTACAAAACAGTCGTCCTTTGACCCCTAATATTATTTGAATTCTCAAATGCAGCAAGAGCCCTCTATGCACTTTGAATGTCTCTTACAGGGATTGTGTAATGATATTTGGGGGGTTTTGTTTTATTTTTGTTTTTTTTTTTGCTATGTAACTGAGGATGGTTTTGAAATCCTGATCTATCCGGGTCTCCCACCTCCAGTCCTGGGATTACAGACACGTGATCACTGTGCTCGGCACATCCCCTTTATACACCTCTACTCCAAAACCGCAGAGGAAGCGCTCTGGAAAAGCTTCCTGAGCCCTTGACAGCCTCGGAACTGCTGTGGTCAATTAATCTAGCAGCTGGGCCAAGGGCTCCAGACCTTAGCACAGAGATGGAAACAGGTATTGAGTGACTGATTCTAAAGTCTTCTCCAACCACCGGTCACAAGGCCTTCAAACTGCGGACACTAACAGCCTGGAGAAACTCTCCTTGCAAGGACTGTTAGAGCCATTAGGATCAATAAATGAATAGTACTAAGAACAGGCTGAGTGATTGTTCCTGGGGTTGGGTTTTGCAACGTGTCCCAGCCCACACTATGGAAGAGTTCAGCCAATGGAGACGCCTGCACGCCTTCTAGTCAGCAGTTGGGATGCGGCCTGGTGAGCAGAAGGCAAGCTCCCATTGGCCGAAGGCGGCAGTGGGCGGGACCATAAGAGTGGGGGTGGGAACTTGAAGGCCTAGCGAGGGGGCTGGCACGGGTCTGGACGCTAGAAGGCGGGTCCAGAATGGTAGAGGCGGGTTCTTGGTCGGGTGGAGGCGGGGCCTGTAGGGCAGGAGGCAGGCCAAGACTTGCACTGGCTGGCTCCAGTCCGGGGCAGGCAGGCCAGACCCACTCAAGCCTCCGTGTCGCCATGGCAGCAGGAACGCGCAGCTTAGAAAAATTGCCCTCCAGCTCGGAAGATGCTGAGCCAAAAGGGCCGATAATTTAAGAGGTAGGTGCCGAAAAGTGATGGGATATTATTACCACCTGTTGAGCATCCAGATCGGAAGCAGAGACACACGGCAGGGACAAAGTGCCGAAGGAGTTGGGGTGGGGAACGGAGGCAGAAGTTTTCGGGTCTGAGCTGTCTCTGAACCCTGTGGAGTCTTAGTGTACAGTTCTACTTCAGACTTTAGAGCTTGGAGATGAGTTATAATTCACTTCCCTTTCTTAACCCATCGTACCACTCTCATACACCTGCTTGTTCATTAAGAGGGTGATTCCCTGAAGATGAGTACTGACAAGGGAATTGCAGCTTGCAGCTCGCTCTCTCTCTCTCTCTCTCTCTCTCTCTCTCTCTCTCTCTCTCTCTCTCTCTCTCTCTCTCTCTCTCTCTCTCTCTCTCTCACACACACACACATACACACACACACCACACACACACGTGTAGATAGCATCAGTCTTGTTGTAGTATTACATAAAATTCAGTCGTATTATCATTATCACCACCACTGATACAGCAATTGTTAGGTTTATTCGCTAGCACAGACCCAGTTAGTACAAGTGGTTCAAAGAGGTGGGCTGAAAGACTACCTTCACTGAAAACTGTTGGAGCAACTCCCTCGCTTATTTTTCTATGTGTTGTGTAGGGTAAACAAAATACTCCCAAGGGTTCTTAACTATGAGGATCAAATAAAATGTTGTAGGTAACACTTAACACTATGTAAACATAAAATTCTATAGACAAATTCTGCCTTGGAATTATAAATGCTGGGCTGGAGAGAATGGCTCAGCGGTTAAGAGCACTGGCTGTTCTTCCAGAGGTCCTGTGTTCTGAGTTCAATTCCCAACAACTACATGGTGGCTCACAACCATCTATAGTGAGATCTGATGCCCTCTTCTGGCATAAAGTTGTACATACAGATAGAGTGCTCATATACATAAAATAATCTTTAAAAAAGAATTATAAATGCTAAACCAGGTGTGGCATGCTCACTGATGACCTCACCACTTGAAAAGTGGAGACAGGAGGATCAAGAGCTCAATCATTCTGTATTACATAGAAAATTGGAGGCCAGCCTGGGTTACATGAATCCCTTTCTCAACTCCCCACCCTCCACCTCAATGTATGTGATTTCTGTGGGGGTTAAAAGTTCCTAAACATAGCCGGGCAGTGGTGGCACACGCCTTTAATCCCAGCACTCGGGAGGCAGAGGCAGGCGGATCTCTGTGAGTTCGAGGCCGGGCTGGACTTATAGCCTCCAAAACAATACAGAGAAACCCTGTCTCGTAAAAACCAAAAAAAAAAAAAAAAAAAACCTAAACATAAACAAATTCCAGAAGAATGAAAAGTGTGTCGGGAGCAGATCATCTGGTATGTCTTCTGGTTATCTGAATATATCCTGTATTTTTTTTTGACAAACGTAGAGAAGATTTGGTGGGACAGGAAGCCAAGAAAACATCCTTCTCATTTCTGTGAAAACCTAAATTAAAGTTGTTTTAAAATGTCACCAGATAACTAGAGAGATGGCTCAGCCGTCAAGAGTGGCTACTGCTCTTCCAGAGGACCTGAGCTTGGTTTTTAACAGTCAACTTCAGTGGCTCACAACCTCCAGTAATTCCAGCTGCAGGGGATCCATCCCTACTTCTGGCCTCTGCAGTTACTATCTATCTCCCCCTACACATGACACATAAGTGAAAGAAAATGCATCTGAGAAGACCCTATTGTGATTGCAATAATTTAGCTGCTCATCAGGGTCCAAAGTCTAACACTTGAAGATGAGTTAAGTTGGGACTTGATTCCTACCAGGTTAATTTAGCTTTTGAGGTTTTTCCTCCTCCTATGTATTTTCACATATCGTCTTTTCCTATTTTAAGGTGGCCCTGAGTCAGCTCTTCTAGGGACACTGAAGATGGGGACTCAAGTGGTTATGAGAGTCTGTAACTCCACGATTCCTGGCACGCCCTCTGTAAGTTCTGGTGTATTGTCAGGAGTGTGATGATGACCTCACAGGAGTGTCAGTGCTTCTCCACCAGGATGTAGAGCCTGGAACAAGATATTTACCTTCCTTTCTTGCTCCTCCTCCTAGTAGAAATCCTAGCTCACTTGAGCATTAATTCATTACCTTTTCCCTGGAATTAAGAAAACCAGGCAGAGGTTGGAAAACTTTAGCTGTTAGTCAATATATATGTATTGTTAAAAGTAAAGCTTGTTCAAAAATAATGTTAATTACAGCACACTTGAGAAACATTGCAAATTATGATTAAAAAATATAAAACCAACTCATAAGTCTCCCATCCAAAAGCAAATTGTGAATATTCTAGGCTATATTCTTTTAGTCTTTTCATCTATGCAAATGTTTTCATTGTGATACTATTATATACAAACTTTGATATTAACTTGGTGATATGTGTATTTGCCTTTCATTTTCATTGTTTTATTATTTTACTTTATATGTAGGGGTGTTTTGCCTCCATGTATGTCTGTGCACTACGTGCCTGGTGCTGACGAGGCCAGAGGAGGGTGCTCAATTCCATGGAACTGGAGTTACAGACAGTTGAGAACCATCATGTGGGTTCCAGGAATAAACCCGGGGTCCTCTGGAAGAGCAGCCAGTGGTCTTAACATCTGAGCTATCTCTCCAGCCCCTGCCAGATTGACTTTTTGAGGTAGAGTTTCGCTATGAATCCTAGTCTGGCATTAAAATCACCCTACCTCAGGCTGGCCTCAACCTTCTCCTGCCTCATCCTTTGGTAATCTGGAATTGTATGCGCTACCATTGGCTATAGTCGTCTTGACAATTTATCAGCCCCTTTTTGTTGAACTTCTAAGTCTCTCCACCACACACACTGCAAATAAGCAACTTGGGGGCCAGAGAGATGGCTCAGCAATTGAGAGCCCTGATTACTTTTGCAGAGGGCCTGGATTTGATTCCCAGCACCCACATGGCATCTCACAGCTACCTGTTACTCCAGTTCCAGGGGATCTGAAGCCCTCTTCTGACCTCTAAGGGGACCAAGAACACATGTAGTGAACAGACACATGCAAGAAAACATTCACATATTTAAAAAGAAAATAAGCAATTTAAGACTACATAGAAAAATTTTCCCACCCATGGATTCGTATTTTATTTTTGTCCCTTTAAACCATACTTTATTATGTATAACAATACAATTTACATATCAAATAACATTATAATAGAATGATTTGATAGAATTTTAATCAAATACTTTATATTTAATTTTTTTCTTATATGTGTGTGTATGTGTATGTGTGTTGGAAATTGAATGGAACTCTGATCCTTTACAAAGGCAGCACTCTTAACCTTTGAGCCAACTCTCCAGCCCACATATAGTCTTGTGTTTTTTTTTTTTGGTTTTTTGAGACAGGGTTTCTCTGTATTGTCTTGGAAGCTGTCCTGGAACTCGCTTTGTAGACCAGGCTTGCCTCGAACTCACAGAGATCCACCTGCCTCTGCCTCCCGAGTGCCAGGATTAAAGGCATGCGCCACCAACGCCCAGCTATAGTCTTGGTTTTTTTGTTTTTTGTTTTTTTTTTGTTGTTGTTGTTGCTGTGTTTTGAGACAGGGTTTCTCTGTGTAACCACCTGGCTGTATTGGGACTAGCTCTGTAGACCAGGCTGGCCTCAAACTCACAGAGATCTGCCTGCCCCTACCTCACAAATGCTGGGATTAAAGGTGTGCACCATCACTGCCACCACCACCAAGATACAGTTTTCAGCAGAAGAAAAGGGGGAGAATTTTCAGGGTACAGAACCCTTCCCCATAGGAAAAAAATCAAGCACCATTTTTTTCTAAGTGGATCAGCACAACAATGTGTTCAGTGACAAGTCATGTCCAGTTCCTACTGCACTAACGGTCATGGAGTCAAAAAGAGACTCTAGCTTTCACAGCCACTCTCTTGGAGGAAGAACACATGTTGGATTATTTTCCAATGCAAAAATTGTTCTTGTTGCTTCACTGTAAACCAAATTGGTCCCATATAACCAGATATGAGCATTTTATAGAATAAGTAACCTGTAAAGGAAGAATTTTGATTTCAGATTTTGTGTACATCCTTCAGAAGGCTGCTGAATGTTAGCAATCTGAGATGTGAAGACCCTGGGTCCTCATGAAAGATTGGTTTTTGCTAGTATAATTAATGATGGTGAGGCCAGTGCTGACTGGCAGTGTGGAAGGAACAATTCAGGAGTTTTCCTAGTAGAGACCCAAGGGTCACTTCCAAAACATCTGCCAGATGTCACCGTCTTGGTCTGATTTTAAACCATGGGATATTTGGCAGACAGCGTGATTTTTCTTTAAAAAAAAAAAAAGCGTAGAACATATTTGCATATCTACTTTGGCATGGTTTATATTAAGCACTGCCATCTGGTGGTTACTTTGGCAACGTTCTGCCTTAGTCTCTTACTACTGTGTCTTGTTGCTCCTTCTGCCCGTTTCTGGCTGTCACACCACACCTGTGCACTCTGTCCCCTCATCTAGACTCATCTGATGCTGAGTTCTCAGTTTTTCTGTTATTTCCTGCAGCCTTGCTTCTTGTC